CAGCCTGGACTACAGCCTGGACTACAGCCTGGACTACAGCCTGGACTACAGCCTGGACTACAGCCTGGACTAAACTAAAGCAGGACTAGAGCAGAACTAAAACTGGACTAAACCAGGACTAAACCAGGACTAAACCAGGACTGATCGCTGAGACAGTACTGGTTAATAAAATACTGTAATCCAATGTGAATAATATATGTTAATAATCCGATGTAGCAGCTCCGTGAGCAGATAGTGTCGTCTCTGGAGGATCTCTGGAGGATCTCTGGACCCAGACGCTGTGGAGCTGGACTCTGCTTAAGAACTTGACAAGAACAGCTGCTAGCTTAAACGTGTTAGCGTCAATGCCCGCCAACCATCTTGGGTTTTTTGGCAGCAAAGGGCAGTACGCCAGATTTAATAAACTCATGCGGCTGAGTTTCAGTGAACGCGTCGATGCTTCGGTGGGAACGCCGCTTTAACGTCCTACGACAATAAAAAGTCCTGACAAACTACTGTTCACTCACTACTATCAACTCACATGGAGGGAACTAGTTTTTACGACGGTCCCTGAATGCAACACAACCACAACTCTTTTTTCATTGTTGCTGTGGATCTACAAACAAAACAAATAATCTTGGCGACAGCGGCTCCGTTGTAGAGCATTGGTCTTTGAGCCTGAATGTTGTAGGTTCGAGCTCACCACAAGACTTTCTCCCTCGACTCCCACTGATGTTGTTGTGTCCGTGGGCAAGACACTTATCCCACTTTGTCTATAAGGAGCGCAGAAGTAACAGTTATGACTATTTATTGAACCAAATTTCTGCATTGTGAGATCAATAAAGTACATCTTCTTCTAGTTACATCATATCCATGTATTATTGTATATAGTAGTATAAATTCACTTAAGTTATTCATATAATATATATTTATAGTTATGTGGTTTTCTTCACGGTGGGATCAAACAAATACACACAACACTTTTTTATAGTTTCGATCTTACTCTGTAAACTTGTTCTGACGCGTAAACGCAGAGCTTTTGTGTGTGTGCCGATTAAAAACACAAATATTTAAAGACATGATCTTTAAATAAATGATCTTTACAAAGTGTGTGACTCGCGCGCCGCAAACAAAGCAATTAAAAAGACTGTGTGCCTTTGATATTCTTTGTTGATAACTTCGAGAAGGAAAAGCGCTTGAAGAAAAACAGATAGTCAAAGTTCAAGTTTGAGCAAACAATATTTCACGTTTCTCAAAAGGATCTGCACAGATAATTTGTCTTGTTTATGAAAATTATAAAAACTAAGGCTTTACAAAGGGCTTTTAATGGATTCTGTTTCCGTGTCTTAAGTCTCCGACGCCTGCGCTATTCTGGGCAAACCAAAACAGCCCATTTCTAAGCCCAAGTCCATGTTTTTTTCACCTGCTAATTAATTTACGACAACATCAAACAGCTATGAGCGCTATTAACCCGTGTTTCAATGTTCCACGGTGGCCCTCGCAAGTGAATCCATAAATATGCCTGACATTAATAGGCTCCGAGGACAGGAAAGGGCGCAGCGTTCTTGCCACACACGCATCACGGAACACCAACGATCTCATCAACTCTCGCTGATCGCTCGGAGGGTGCACGGGTGGACGGTCCCAGGGCTGGACATGTCGGCCTGTGATGGGCCATCTCCCTCATGTCTCCAGCATGGACAGATGGATGTGGAGGCAAATCTAATTGGTGGCAAAAGGCGGAGGATGGCAGATGGTTTACATGGACAGAAACTGAAATTATAAAAAGAAATGGTGGGGAAAGGATTGAGCACGGACAACACTGGCTGGCAGCAAATGTACCACACATAAGCTGAGGAATTATGTAGAGTTCGCGATCCATGACGTTGTGGACTGAGAATGTGGTTCATTTCCCGTTCGCTAGGCCTGGGATTCATGACTACAGGCGCTGAATGGTTAACCAAGCTGCAAATCGGATGTTTATATTGTTTCCTTGTTTGTGTGGGTTGTCAAACACACGCAGAAAGGCAGAGGATCCAGGATGAGGATGTTAAAGCACAGATCTGGCACATAAACTCCTCACAATAGAAGCTTTTGTTTAATAATCGTACACGCCTGGAGAATTATACATTACCATAATAGAATTGTATTTAATTCTTTCCATATTTTCTCATTGAATTAATTCTTAAACATGCATTTGATTAAAGTGTATTTTTCAAAGGGAGTGCAGACCTTTTTAATAAGATTCAGAAACTAAAAGACAAGGAATTGTTTGATAAACTGAATATCAATGTCATCCATGAATCAATGAATCTATGAAGAAAGAAGAAGAAGAAGAAGAAGAAGGGCCAAAGACATCATTTTTTCTGCATATATGGTAAGACCTGAGAGCCTGGTCTGGTCTGGTCTGGTCTGGTCTCCAGTCCGGTGAGACACTTGAAGGCTGTCCATTGATTTGCTCTAAACCAGGGGTGTCCAAACTTTTTAGCCAGAGGCCACTATAGTTCATCAGACTTGACCTGGGGCCGACAAACTGGATTCGAGCTGGTTTGACTGGATTCTGGAATTTAAAATGGGTTTTTGATACGTCCTTATTGATCCACAGCTGGATTTTATTTGGAAAGTTGTGACAATGAAGTCAACGACTGGATTCCAGAGGGTCTGAGATTTACAACAAGGTATACCTGTGTTGGTGAAGCTGAAGTTGGCTGAATGACACTATCAAAGTGCCTCAATGACGACTTTATGTTAGCAGCAGAGGGCTACATAAAATGGAACAGAGGGCCGCAATTGGCCCAGGGGCCTGAGTTTGGACCTGCTGTAAACTCACTGACCTCAGTTTGTAAAACTTCATGATTAAACATAGAATTTAGTATTTTTATAGATGTCATGTCCTACCCCTTTATTAGTCCACTCTGGGTTAGTCCCACTGGTCCTCCTGCAGATGGTGGGTCCACGGGAAGATGGCTTCTACATCATGGACGAGATGGCCTTGGTCTGTCACTGGGGGCTTCAGGCAATGTGGGGTTAAGTGTCTTGCCCACGGACACAACGACAGCAGACATCAGTGGGAGCATGTGGCATGGGTCGTGGTGGGACTTAAACCCATGATCATTTGGGCCAAAGACCAGTGCTCTACCAGAGCTACTGTCGCACCCATCTTCATAGATGTTGATTCATGAATGACAGAAAATAGAAGTGTGCTTTTTATTGGCATAAAATCTACAAAAATGTTCATAGTCGACGTGATTCTGCAGAAATGTCAGAACAGGCTGCGTTAGTCTTAATGTTTGGAGAATGTGAATACAGACTACAGACTGAAACATTGGAAAGACAGACGTGTGACAGCAGCAGGAGCTGAGGGCTGCGGATGAGTCTGGGGAAAGTGCTGTTTCAAAAGCATAAAGCAGAACTTTATACACTGAAAAAGACATGTTTCCTTATTAAGCTGGACATACTCTGAGGTTCTAACCCTTGTGCTGTTGTTGTGCTAACGTTTGCGTGTTCAACCTGCCGGAAACTCCTGCGAACAGCGGCAATGTGTTTTCACGAATTAATGAATGAGGTCGATAAACACACACACTCTTAACTCTGCAGACATGAAAGATGAAGGTTCAGACAATAACTGTGCACCTACAGTTTGTGACATTATCATTTCCAAAATCCACCAAATCTAAATATCCATCCATCCATTTTCTTCCCCTTAATCCATTTCTGGGTCGGGGGGGTGGCAGTCAGAGCTGCACCCAGTACACTTAGCACCAGCCCCTCACTGATCCTCCTGCAGGTGCTGAGTCCACAGGAGCTGAGATCTTTCAGTGGGAGCTTCAGGCAAAGTGGGGTTAAGTGTCTTGCCCAAGGACACAACAACAGCAGTTATCAGAGGGAGTCGTGAAGTAGGTCTTACTCTGAGGTTCTAACCCTTTGCTGCTGTTGTGCTAACGTTAGCGCGTCAGACCTACCGAACAGCGGTTGTGTGTTAATCATGAATGAATGAATGAGGTCGATAAACACACGCGTTGGTGGGAGGGGCTGATGGCACATATAGGTTGCCTCGCTTCTGTCAGTGTGCCCCAGGGCAGCTGTGGCTAAAGCAGTAGTTTATCACCACTGCGTTTGGAGAGAAAGAATAATGATGTGAAGAGACTTAGGCCCTGTCCACACGAAGTCAAGCTCAGGCCTAAACGTAAAAATACTTTATCAATCCAGTGTATGGTCCATACGAGGCCGGCGTTTTGGGGGGGTGTAAACGAACATTTTTGAAACTAGGTCCCAGAGTGGAAAGATTTCAAAACTCCGTATATGCCGCTCCGTGGTTACTGCCTCTCCGCAATGTATCTGAGACGCTTGCGTCATCGCCCCGCCTCTTGTTAAAGCAGCATGCGCCGCACTCAGAAAATAATGACAACAACAATGTAGCTTGTTGGTTTTGTAATCCAGTGTGACCCGAAGCAACAGTTCAACCTCATCGTCCGTCCATACTAATGTAGTACCAGCTCGCCCACTCGCCATGTTGTCTGTTTACAAAATTCCGCGCATGCCCAGTTCCCGTCACGGAAGTTTGGGCTTGATCCCGTCATTGCGTCACAGCGCCACCAACAGGTCTGGCATAGTTTCACAGCGTTTTCAGGCGTATTGACTACATTCATATGGACGCACACATTTACTGAGCTAACTCCGTGTTTACAGAAAAAGTTTCTGAAATTATAAGCGTTTTGTCTTCGTGTGGATATAGCCTTTGAGTGTCCAAAGAAGCGCTGTATAAAACCACTACATTGTTATTATTAATTACTGCGCAAGTTTGTGACATTATCGTTCCAAAAACCCACCAAATTGTAACAAATAGATCATACAGACGTGTTGATATTCAGTATGAAATGAAACTTCCGCTGCCTGCCGTTATAACTCACATATGCTTCCCGTCACCAGGTGCACAGCCACTAGACAGAAGAAGCTCTTTTAAAACGGCAAGAGAGAAAAAGTGCGCTCCCGGCTGCTTCTCCCATCTCGCACAAGGTCGCTCAATCACACGCAGCCGCCTCATTGTGGCTTCCGAAGGCCCTACCTGATCGCTGGCTGCTCCCCCTGGCCCCATGGTGCGAACCAGGTGTGGCGATGACAAAGCGCTCCTGGCAGCAATAAGAGAACAGAGAGAACAGAGCTCAATTAGCCCAAGCCGCAATCCGGGATCTTCTATTGATTTCCCGCAGATGAAGAATGGCAGACGGGAGAAAGCTCAATCAGATGCACCCACGGGAATCGCCTCGCTCTGTGCGGTGTGTGTGTTGGGAGTCAGCGGGGGGTAAATGGGCACGGGGGCAACAGTCCGGGCTGCGGAGCGTGTGTGGTTATGCATACATGATGGTTAAGTAAAGTGGTGTCTGCAGATGGTGAATGACATGGGTCTTTAAAGGCACGCCGAGTGTCCGAAAACCAATGAGACTCGGTGGGAGACGGACAGGCATTAGCTCCCTGAAGGGCAAATCAATCTGACAAGCCCCACTGGACACCTCGGGACAATTCTATCACTTCCTCAAATTAACCTTCACGAGACGCATGGGAAGTAGAACGCACCGTCCCTGACTAACCCTCGCCGTTTCTCCTTAAACCTCCGTCCGCCGGGGATTAAAGGAGAGACAAGACTGAGGTGTATGTAACGGATATAGAAATACACTTTATATTTTTTGTTTACAATTCCTGGTTGTATAATATTTTAAAATGTAATATTGTGTGAATTTTATTTTGACGTTTTATTTTGAAATTCCCGGAAGTGCATGTTGCTCCCCTGCGTTTTATTTTGGTAGTTGTTGTATGCTTCCGAGAGTGAGTTCAGTCTCTGTGAAAAATATATAATTTCAGTCATTTAGCTTTATTTTCCGCAATATTCACTAAGATATGTTTTGCAGGAAATGTTTTAGGACGCAATGAACGTACTTTTGCACATTTTTTGTTTTTCTGTACGTTTGATTTAGCTAGCTCACCATGTGCCTCAAGGGTATTGCCATGCTCACGTGCCGTTTTCATCCTGTAGGGGGAGCCAGTGTGTCCGCTGTGACTAAAAGTGTATAATTTTGGTCTGTCACAGGTCTGAGTAAAGTAGTTGACTCCACACTGCGTAGATGCTCATGTATGACTGATATAATGAAGATGGTATAGGACAAAGCCTGGGCGGCACAATGGCAGAGTGGTTAGCCCTCTCGCTTCTGCCACTCTCTCTTTAATTGCCACTTCTTATTGTACATAATTATATCCTGCACAGACTATATTTTTTAACTTTAACATGTTTCACACTTCTGTCTTTTGCAGAAATCTGAGTGGTTCTATCTGGTCCTGGGTTTGAATCCCGGTCGGAACAGGGCCTTTCTGAGTGGAGTTTGCATGTTCTCCCCGTGTTTGCTCCGGTTGGTTTCCCCTACCCCTAAAAACATGTCCAATAGGTCTGAATGTGGCGAGAGAGAAAATGGTGTTTGGTCGGAGGTTTTGATGGACCAGAGAGAATGGAACCAAATGAATTCTGAATATTGTAAAGCGCTTTGGGCGACCTTGGTCTGTAAAATGTGCGATATAAATATACATTATTAGAACAAATTCTATAGTGAACTGTATTAATAAAGTGTCATGAGGAATGTTATGTAAAAAAAGGCCCATTATAATAAATAACGTTCTATTTGGCATATTTTTTTTCTAGATTATTTTTAGAATTTTTCAAGACTAGAACGACAGGTGGAAATAATCCTTTGGCAATAATCTGGCATGTTTACATTCTTGTTTTTAATTTGTCTGTTCATAAACATGCATCGTCCCATTCAAATAATTAAATGCATTTGTAGAATCTCTTTCATAAATATGCTTCTGAATTCTGTAATGTAATGTTTATTCAAGGAGAGAAGGTCATGGGCCTCACACCCCTGATCATTTCTGATCCACAACACTTAGTCTTGCCTCACAGGCGTTGGGTATTCAGCCTCGAGAAAGGTGCACATAAACAAATAATAACTAGTGTTGAATCCATTTCAAGGTCCAGCACCGGGTCAATGCCAAAGTTCAGTCAGACTGCATAATTAGAATGTATAGTCCCACAGTCAGAGTCCTGGTGGCCAAAAACACATTTGCTTCTTAATGCACTGTAAGCAAATCTCAAGGAAAAACATAGTGAGCCGAGTCCCTTTCCTTGTAATGGAAACTCCAAAGACCTGAATAAACTCCACGCCCTAAATGTACGCTCTAAAGCACCATTTTTCTTGTTGTGAGTTTTTGTGTAAGTGTGGCCCCGGTGTGAGGGCTCTATTGGAGAGATGGAGCACTGCGGCCCCTCGGCTGGGCCCTTGTTAGTAATATTTAGCGCATTGGGAATAAAAGTCTATTATGGTCCTGGCTTTTCTCTCCTCTCTCCGAGTCTCTGTGGATTTGTGTTTCTGGTGTTTATAACGCGAGGGACCTCCATCTCCCACAGGTTCTCAGCTTCAGGCGACACTGGGGTTCGGTCCCGCTGAAGTAACAACTGGGTTTTTTCTTTTTGCGAATTGCAGTCGTGATGATTAAGAGTCGTCAGGTCCCTGCGGAGTCACGGCCTACACAAATGGAATTGCATGTTTTATTCCTCTTTTTTGTTTTCAGTCGTACTGCAATCTGACACTGGATCCAAGAAACACATCTGACAAAGAAACTAAGCTAGCATGCTAACTGAAATAGCATCATTCATATTTGCATGTTGAGTGTAAGAGGCCTGTTTTCATTTTCTTTTCTGTAATTAATGGGAGATCAAAGAAATATAGTGAGGTCTGTTCGATGTGTGTAATGTATTCTCTCTCCATGTGTTCATGAAAACAAATTATGGTCAAATGGTATTTTCCAGATACAAGCACCAACGTTAGACATTAAAACACTTTTTCTTTTTCACTTGATCAATGTCGACTGGGAAGCATTTGTTTCAGTCCAGAAAAAAAATAAAAATAAACTTTAGATCAGGTGTCTCCAACCTTTTTCACCCAGAGAGCTACTTTCCCGGGTCGATAAAGGCAGAGAGCTACTCCTTTAAGCGCCCCTGGTGTTTACTGTCTGATATCGGGTACAGTTATTTTTCATCACATATTTGTTACTAGTGACAAAGTAAGTGCAGTTACAATGATAAATAATAATAATAATAATAACACCTTTAATTTGTAATGCACTTTACATACAAATCTCAAAGTGCTACAGAACAACAACAATAAAAGCACACATCATTAAAGTTAAAACAATGTTAAATAAGAAGGGACCAGAGAAGTTTTAAGTCCTCTTTTGAAGGTCTCCAATGACTGTGGGGCCCTCAGGTGTGGTGGGAGGGCGTTCCACAGTTTGGGAGCAGCCGCTTGGAAAGCCCTGTCGCCCATTGTCCGGAGTTTAGTTCTGGGGATGGAGAGGAGGTTGGTGTCTGTGGACCGGAGTGCTCTGGTTATGGGCGGAGGAGTGAGAAGTTCTGTGAGATAGCCCGGGGCATGTCCGTGGATGCATTGGTAGGTGAGGAGGCAGATTTTGTATTGGAAGCGTTGGATGATTGGAAGCCAGGGAAGATGGCGGAGGACTGGGGCGATGTGCTGCTGCTTCGGCGTCCTCGGCAGGATCCTGGCAGCGGTGTTTTGGATATGCTGAAGCTTTTGAAGGCGGTCGCTGCAGCTGCCCCCACTCTCTGGAACTCACTCCCTCAACCCGCCAAAAACTCAGACTTACTACAGAACTTTAAATCTCTCCTAAAAACCCACCTGTTTCATCTTGCCTTTCCTTAATTTTGTTTTTCAATGTTTATTTCTACGTGTTTTGTAAAGCGTCTTTGAGCGTCCAAAAAAGCACTATATAAGTTTGATGCATTATTATTATTATTATTTTTGCCGGGATCCCGACAAGGAGGGCGAATGAATAATACAATCTGAAATATTATGTAATATTATAAGTATATTATTTGGTTTGGGGCGACAGTAGCTCAGTTGGTAGAGCAGTGGCCTTTGAGCCTGGAGGTCGTGAGTTCGGTTCCCACCATGGGACCTACTCCAACTGCTCCCACTGATGTCTACTGTCGTTGTGTCCTTGGGCAAGACACTTAACCCCACGTTGCCTGAAGCCCCCGCTGAAAGACCAAGGCTGTCTCACCACTGACAGAGCAGCTATCCTTCTGTGGACTCACCCCCTGCAGAGGATCAGCGGGACTAACCCAGTGAATGAATGAATGAATATTTGGTTTGTTAATTTCTAGATCCTTTGGCGACCTACCTGGAAGGGGGTGGCGAGCTACTGGTGGTTCCTGAGCTACAGGTTGAGACCCTTGCTTTAGATGCTCAAATACAGTCCAGTAGAGGGCGCTCTACCTAAACACATTCGTTCACATCATAATATAAACAGCTGCAGAGGTTTTGGACATAACCAGTCGACGAAGTGTGACGCCCAAACTGTTTGTCTGCGGTTATTGAATCATATTTTTGCATAATATATAATCTATAATTACAGATTGATTCTAGTTTTATCCCCGACCATTATTAAATAGTCTCTGTCCCGTTCCATTCATAAAGTCTCCAGCACGACACGTCCTAAATCTAACTATTGTGTCCCAATGTTCAATATATATATATTTTTTTAAAGGCATCATTTTTCAGGAAATGACTTAGACTTTATTGATCCACAGGAGAATTGTGTTGCCACAGTCGCTCACACAGTATTTCACAATAAAATTAACATTAAAGTGACAACCTTAAAATAAGAATAATAAGATAATATTGTGAGAATAGAATAATCTGGATATAGGTGCTCGGAAATTTGTACATTTACAAATACACCCCAAGGTTAAAAACACAGTTAGAATCCAAGTTAGTAAAAAATCAAATATTCTGAAAATAAACGATCGACAAATGCAACACTTTATAAAATGTAATATCCCATAAACAACACATTCTCAGGTGCAGAGGACTAAGTTGTGCGTTCATCCAAGTCTCTCTTCTCACCTGGAGCCGACCATGACGGGCCCCGGGGCCTTACACACATGTCAAAGCACACGTTAAAGCACATTAGACATGCTTAGACTCTACCTCAGGGGGACGAGAAGTGAGAGGCCGCTGCTGTCCACGGAGCAGCTTCACTTTCACGTTAAAAGGATTTAGCAACATGAAAAGACACAGAAAGAAAGAGGCTGCAGCAGAAGGATCACGAGGGACTGGGGTGAACGGGCTGGTGCTATAAAGCCGTCTGAAAAGGTTATTTGTGAGAGAAAGCTACAATCAACGGGAGAATTGGACAATGTTGAGAGTACGGTAAAGGATCACAACTTCAGGTCTTTAAAAACATTTCACAAACCACTATGTAAAGAAGAAAACCAATCCAATCCTGTTTTGACATATACATGACATAGACACGACAAAAGGATTAAAATGGAGACAGTTGAGGATAAAAACAACCCCAGGTCCCGTGGTCTGTCCTGAGCTCAGTCAGATGTTTGTGAGACTCATGACTTTAGTAGCTCAGCACTGGTCTTTGGACCTAATGGTCGTGGGTTCAAATCCACCACGACCCATATCATCTGCTCCCACACTTAACCCCACTTTGCTTGAAGCTCCCGCTGAAAGACCAAGGGCATGGATCCACACCTGCAGAGGATCAGAGGGACTGGTGCATCGAGACTTGGGCTGGAGTATTTACTGATGTGTTTAATGTTCTTAAGCAGTGGAGAATATGAGCAGAATAAACAATAGTAATAATATCAGCAGGTAAAGTGACTAGTGAATGGCAGAAGTATCAGATGGATATGTAAAAATGCAGTAGTAATAATAACAGTGACTAAGTTACTAGTGAATTATAATCAGTGACACTTGCACAGACTCAGCAGTTCTCGTTATAAGCCTTTGCCGCACTGTCACAAAGTAAACACAGGAAACAAGTCTCGTAACGACAAAATGTGGCAAATAAAACACATCATAGTTTTGACAATACACATCTGTCATCATCAAGAGCAACTTCTCAAAGTCCAGAGATTCTCCTATAGGGATCAATAAAGTATCTAGGTTTGCCACATTCACCATATTATCACAAAGTAGACTTCGGAACATCACGCTCTTGACAAGCATTTATTCACACTTGGACAAAATACCAAACAGAGTAAAACAAAATAAAGTCCTGGCGTTGTAGCTAATAAAAAGAGCAGGAAAAGCCCTGAGCCCTGAAAACAAATGGAGGAGCGGGTGCAGAGCAATAATAAGGTTATTTGGCTGAGGGTATTTGCTGCCTCGGCCTCCTGCCTACAGGTGCCTGTGGGGGGACCTCTATAAATCCTGGCAGTCTGTCAACAAACTGTTCTATACGTGGATATTAAGAAGGCTATTTATTTTACCACGGAAAATAAATATGTCCTGGGTTTAAGGAGCCGGGGGCAAAACTCGAAAAAACGACAGTGGTTGGTTTTGGAGCCTGTTTAGCTCAGAGTACGACGAATACGCAGTGCCTCATGATTCATCTTTCTTCCAATCATGCCACTTCCTGTATTGTCGTACTCAGACGGAGGTTTTTCAGTCCTCTATCAAAAGATAATGAACCGTAATGCAGTACACACACACACACAGAGAAAGGGACGCTTTGTCATCTTGGTTTCGCTGTCCCTTTTCTATGACAGCACTTCAGTTGGAACGCTCTGAGTGCAATTCTCCACTGACTTCAAAAAAGATTTGAGATGGAAGACGGAGCGGAAAATAAAACATGTATATACCAAATGACTCCAGAAGAACTCGCTCTGACTTGGACCAAATGTATGGCGTCCTTAGTGCTGGATATTACCCGCCGCATTGGTGGCAGGGGGCGCATAAATCACTGGACAGTCCCCGGTGGAAAGACCATATTCATGCATGCAGGTGAACATTACCCCCCCTCCTCATATTGAACTTATTCCGTCTCGCTCTGCAGAGGAGGAAATAAGCCTTAATGGCGTGTGGTGAGAGACGCATTACAACAGCTGCAGGAATAGCTACACTTTTCATTTTCAAGTTAAAAAAACATATAATGATGTGTGGATGTGTGGAGCAAGACCTCAACCACGAGCTTCACATTTCAGAATCAGAATCTTTTTATTGCCGTGTGTGTAACAGGAAGTCACAAACTAAGAAATTGCTTTGGCTCTCGGTGCAGACAAGTTCAAGCGGCATAAAATCAAGAAGCATTTGAAGACTGTGACTTTCAACAAAATGAAAGACAGAAAGCTCTTCTGTGACAAGTTATTGACTTGAATCAATAATTGTTCTTCTTGCTGCGTAGGTCTCGATTAGAATTTCAATTTTGGCCCATTTTTTAAACTTTAGTAGTGGTAATTTGTGCGTGGAATAAAGCCAAATGCAAATCAGCGGTGCCTTCCTGCTTCTTATTGTGAATGATTAACATTCCCTGCACAGATCAGAGCAGGTTTCTCAGCTCCCTTGGTTGAAATGCTAATTCGCCTCCAACCCAGTTTAATGTCAATCCCATTCTACTTTTTGCTCTTGTTAGGGAGGAGCTGGCTGTCTGCATTTCCATACACCGCAGCATGAGCAGGCAGACTGCTTTCTAACCCATGTGGATCTAACCAAGCCAGAGAAGAAGAGGTGAGCGCTGGAGGTGGGCCAAGAGGCAGTGTCCACGTCAAGACTCTGAAAGCCTGACTGGAATAGAACCACACTCCTCCTGACGCATGAGAAAAACAGCTCGATAAAAGTAGATTGTGGCTCTTTTGAGTCGAGAGCGACATCTTTGTGGTTTCATTTTTTTCATATTGATCACATTTCTTTTTTATTTGCCACATTTATGCTTATTTTTCAGCCAGTCACGCGGCACTAAATAGACTCTACACACAGTGGAAATCTGAGCGTGGAAATGCGTCTCCTGCTGCGCCAGTGTGCAGGAGTTTTTACTATTCATCTATAAAAGTGCTAAACAACATGGGGCACAAACTGTGGCAAAATGCTGCCATTTCCGGGCTCTTACTGAAAATGGGTAATGAAAAGCTCAGCTAGGGACTATTGACTTGGAACAAAACGGAGTCAGAAAATAAAAGGCATCTGAATGTATCAATAAGGCGTAGTTTCTATAGGCCTGTAATAAAACAGTCTGTATGGTCTGGTATAAACTTGTACCGCTGTGATCAAACGTGTATTTGTCAGACACAGAACAGCGGCTCATTTCAAACTCTGAATTAAATAATAGCCTCAGTAATTTGATCATAGTAATTGTAGGATGTATTGTGTATTAAACAGACTGTAAATATTAACTGTTGTAGTGACGCCGATCTCTAACACTTTTCCTGCCGTACTTTTAAAAATGGCCGCCAGTGGCCCCTCCCAGAATATGTGAAAAATCCATTTGCATTAGCCCCATTCATTTAACGAGTGCATTCAGAAGTCCACAGCCACTAAACTAGACTGGTCCAAAAACATATACTCCCCTCAGAAAGCATCTGGAACCAAGAGGACCCAGAACCACTTTTGGACCAAGAACCACTTTTGGACCAAGAACCACTTTTGGACCAAGACCCACTTTTGGACCAAGACCCACTTTTGGACCACGAGCCACTTTTGGACCACGAGCCACTTTTGGACCAAGACACACTTTTGGACCAAGACCCACTTTTGGACCACGAGCCACTTTTGGACCAAGACACACTTTTGGACCAAGACCCACTTTTGGACCACGAGCCACTTTTTCCAGAGTAAAGAAGACTCCATACAAAAGCATTGGGTAATTCTCTTTCCGGGTACACCCCCACCGTACCCCCATCATGAACCTTTCGGAGCCGGCCCACACTGGGTATAAATGATGTCTAAGTACAATTGCACCTTCTGCTGCACTGTAATAAGTTTAGTCTAATCTAAACTAATCTGTTCTAATCATGAAAACAACACAAACTCAAGACAGAAGCGTGACCACAGCAGACACGACACAATCCAGGTGCAAGAAAAAAACAGTGCGTGCAATTTCCCTGGTGCAATTCTACCGGACACATGCATGAAGCACTAGTTAGTTAGTTAGTTAGTTAGTTAGCACTAATGTGAACGGGCGCTAATCCCTTATGCACACACACAAACCTAGGCTTGTCTGCTAACGTTCAGGCTCTCCTCAACTGTGGAAATCATTCCGAAACTCCACACTGCAATCGTTTTACAAATAATTGCAGCCCAAAGTGGAAATGACATTCCAAAGATCCAAAGGCAATCTGATGGAGCTGAAGGCGAGGCGGCGGAGACACAGCTCTGGCCCCGACGCAATCGTCACAAGGCTTGCTTTGTTTAGTTTGGACTTATTAGCTTTCAGCCCAGCGAGCCAAATGAGTCGTAAAACACCCAAAGCTGCTGCCACTCACAGAGCACAGACTTTGGGAAGGCTTTCATTAAAGTCTGTGTATGTGCTCATTATTGTGCTCTCACATTAAGATGCACATGGTAACGCCTGCCACAACACGTGCAATAATGAGCCCTGTAAGGTCCGTGTTTATTGCACAGTACAGAGGACATTTCATCACGGCGTGGAGACAGAACTGCATAATCATCCAGCTTCAGACTGTATTTTTGAGGCAGACTTGGAAATACGGAGATGTCCTGGAGTCTAATGAGTGCTGTGGAGTCCCTCAGTCAGGCAGAGAAAAGGTTTGATGAATCATGGACTTACCTTTGGATCTGCGGTGAGGAGTTTGAACGCCTCGTACACCTGCCTCTCTTTGACTCCGCCCCCCAAGTCCAGGAAGTTGGCTGGTTTTCCTCCATGCAGGTCGATGATGTCGCACGTGGCCATGGCTAACCCCGCTCCGTTCACTGCAAGATATTTTTTTTGTTAACTTTAGATAGTAATCTTTAGTAGTAGTAATCTTTATTTATATACCGCCTTTTCACTGCAGATCTGAGTCTCAAAGTGGTTTACAATTCTAAATTTTTGGGCACTTGTCTCTCGCTCCACACAGAGATGGGAGGGGCCAGTACAGGAGGCACATGCTAGAACTATTGGACATATTTTTAGTGGTAGGGGAAACCGGAGTACCCGGAGGAAACCTACGCAGACACGGGGAGAACATGCAAACTCCACTCAGAAAGGCCCTTGTCCGACCGGGGTTCGAACCCAGAACCTTCTTGCTGAGAGGCGAGAGTGCTATCCACTCAGCCACCGTGCTGAGTGCTACATTGTGTTTGATTGTGTGGACATATCAGAACAAAATATTTAAATTTTTACAAACAAAATTCAATGTATTTGCCATTTGCAGTAAAACCACATTGGAAAAACTGTGCAAGACTCCCCCAGTGTGCACCAGAAAGCATACGGTGGCTGAGTGGTTAACATTCTCGCTTCTCAGCAAGATGGTCCTAAGTTCGAATCCTGGTCGAGACAGGGCCTTTCTGAGTGGAGTTTGCATGTTCTCCCCGTGTCTGCGTAGGTTTGCTCCGGGTGCTGCAATTTCCCCTACCACTAAAAACATGTACAATAGTTCTGACAGCGCCCCCTGTAGGTGACTGCTCCATCTCTGTGCGGAGTGAGAGACTAATGCACATAATTGTAAAACGCTTTGTGACTCTGGTCTGTGAAAGGCGCTATATAATTAAACATTACTAACTGCGTCAAAGAAAATAGCTGGAAACATTGAGTCTTTGAGGCAGGCACCATGAACAAGATCTGATTAAGACCCTCCTCACATCACAGAAAGAAGTCTGATTAAAGGGGTTGTGCTGTGGCTTTCTGTCGGGCGATGTCATCATTTAGCCGAGCTCCAGGCTGGCTCCCTGCTGCCCCCTGCTGGCTCCCTGCTGCCCCCTGCTGGGATGTGTACACGCCAATCCCGCCAAAACGTCTTCACTCATTTGGTTCAGCCGGAATGAGCGCTCGTCCTGGAAAGCTCCCGACTGAGGTCTCAATAAGTGGGAAATTTGCTCTAACAGCTGCCGTTTTTCTGGTGCATGGAACTCTCACAAAAAGCAGGATCGTTAAAGCTGGAGCGACTTTAGGAGTGACTGAGGAAATGTGAACATGTGGGATGTTTGGAGCTAACGCCTAATATGTTTATGTGAGCGAGAGCACCTGGTCGTGCTGCAATACACTGTAAATGCTTTGATTTATGACAAGAGAGGGCCCTTTAATGAGAATGCTAACAATCTGGCTCGCCCGAGACTTTCCGGGCGGATTATAGCTAATTAGAACACATTGGTTACGCGAGAAATCCGTCTGGGGTCCTCTGAAAGTGACTCGCAATGGAGAGTGCAACAGCTCTTTGGCTTCTTAGTTTAAGATGTGGAAGTTTTAGATATCCCAAAAGGAAGAGACTTTCATTTTATGCTTATACTGGAGTAAAATGTTACTGCTGCATCTTTAGAATGTTCTGGAAACAGCAGCGAGTCCGAAGTGTCTCTGAAACTGTTGTTTTGTGTTTTACACTGGTCCAGACCAGAGCAGAGAGGATTCATGGTTTTACACTGGTCCAGACCAGAGCAGAGAGGATTCATGGTTTTACACTGGTCCAGACCAGAGCAGAGAGGATTCATGGTCCGAACCAAGTGGATCAAGACAAAATCCACTGGAGGAAAGCTAACTTTATGAAAATACTAACAAAGTATTTAGCATTTTACTTTCAACCTGGACATTTGGATGTCTGCTGTCGCTGTGTCCTTGGGCAAGACACTCAACCCACTTGGCCTGAAGCCCCCGCTGAAAGACCAAGGCTATGCTCACTCTGACAGAGCAGCCATCCTTCTGTGGACTCAGCACCTGCAGAGGATCAGGGGCTGGTGCTCTGACTGCCACCCCCCAACCCAGAAATGGATTAAGGGGAAGAAACTGGATGGATGAAAGATACTGCTCATGTTTGTGGAGACGCTAAAGTATAACAACATTTTGTTACAATCACTCATTCTCTCAGCTTTTTGTCTAAGACTGGTGATGTCACACTCCCCTCTTTTCGACGGGAGATCACAGGAGAACAAAACAACATAAAAAATAAATAAAGAATCTGATGAAAGTAGTCAGTCCAGTTTTTCAGGTTCTGGTTTTTCACATTTTTCATAGTCATAGCACACAATATTCTGTGAGTCCTGAAAATCAATGAAGTCGTCAAAAATGGCCGGCAGTCAAAGAGTTACTGCTGCTGTTAGATACTTTTTTGATTTATGTACTTAGTAGTTTTGTTTTTTTGGATGGATGTGTTTCTGCTGCTCCTGGACTATCTATCTGTATCTATCTGTATCTCTATCTGTATCTGTATCTATCTGTATCTCTATCTGTATCTGTATCTATCTGTATCTCTATCTGTATCTATCTGTATCTATATCTATCTGTATCTCTATCTATCTGTATCTCTATCTATCTGTATCTCTAACTGTATCTATATCTATCTGTATCTCTATCTATCTGTATCTCTATCTATCTGTATCTATATCTATCTGTATCTATATCTATCTGTATCTATATCTATCTGTATCTATATCTATCTGTATCTATCTGTATCTATCTGTATCTATCTGTATCTATCTGTATCTATCTGTATCTATCTGTATCTATCTGTATCTATCTGTATCTATCTGTATCTATCTGTATCTATCTGTATCTATCTGTATCTATCTGTATCTATCTGTATCTATCTGTATCTATCTGTATCTATCTGTATCCATCTGTATCTATCTGTATCTATCTGTATCTATCTGTATCTATCTGTATCCATCTGTATCCATCTGTATCTATCTGTATCCATCTCCAAACTACATGATGTGTTTTCCTTCCATCCAGAGCACACAGACTCGAGTAGTTATCTGCAGTTCATCCAGAGTGATCATGGGCCTCTTGGCTGCATCTCAGATCAGTCTTCTCCTTGTTTGAGATGAAAGTTTGGAGGGACGGCCGGGTATTGGTAGATTTGCAGTGGTCTGATACTCCTTCCATTTCAATGTAATTGCTTGCACAGTGCTCCTTGAGATGTTTAAAGCTTGGGAAATCTTTTTGTATCCAAATCCGGCTTTAAACTTCTCCACAACAGTATCTCGGACCTGCCTGGTGTGTTCCTTTGTCTTCATGGTTCTCTCTGTGCTTTAAACAGAACCCTGAGACTATCAAAGAGCAGGTGCATTTATACGGAGACTTGATTACACACAGGAGCATTCTATTTATCATCATCAGTCATTTAGGACAACATTGGATCATTCAAAGATCCTCACTGAACTTCTGGACTGAGTTTGCTGCACTGAAAGTAAAGGGGCCCAATAATATTGCACGCCCCCCTTTTCAGTTTTTTATTTGTTAAAAAAGTTTAAATTATCCAACAAATTTCATTCCACTTCACGATTGTGTCCCACTTGTTGTTGATTCATGACAAAAAATTAAAATGTTACATCTTTATGTTTGAAGCCTGAAATGTTGAAAGGTTCAAGGGGGCCGAATACTTTCGCAAGGCACTGTATGTATGTGTACATGTGTCTGTCTGTCTCTGTGTGTATGTATGTGTACATGTGTCTGTCTGTCTCTGTGTGTATGTGTGTGTACATGTGTCTGTCTGTCTCTGTGTGTATGTGTGTGTACATGTGTCTGTGTGTGGGTCTGTCTCTGTGTGCGTATGTGTGTGTACATGTGTCTGTCTGTCTCTGTGTGTATGTGTGTGTACATGTGTCTGTCTGTGCGTCTGTCTCTGTGTGTGTATGTGTGTGTACATGTGTGCGTCTGCCTCTGTGTGCGTTTGTGTGTGTACATGTGTCTGTGTGTGTATGTGTGTGTACATGTGTCTGTCTGCGTGTGCGTATGTGTGTGTACATGTGTCTGTACATGTGTCTGTCTGTCTCTGTGTGTATGTGTGTGTACATGTGTCTGTCTGTGCGTCTGTCTCTGTGTGTGTATGTGTGTGTACATGTGTCTGTCTGTGCGTCTGTCTCTGTGTGTGTATGTGTGTGTACATGTGTGCGTCTGCCTCTGTGTGCGTTTGTGTGTGTATATGTGTCTGTGTGTGTATGTGTGTGTACATGTGTCTGTCTGCGTGTGCGTATGTGTGTGTACATGTGTCTCTACATGTGTCTGTCTGTCTCTGTGTGTATGTGTGTGTACATGTGTCTGTGTGTCTGTCTCTGTGTGTATGTGTGTGTACATGTGTCTGTCTGTGCGTCTGTCTCTGTGTGTGTATGTGTGTGTACATGTGTCTGTGTGTGCGTCTGCCTCTGTGTGCCTATGTGTGTGTACATGTGTCTGTGTGTGTATGTGTGTGTACATGTGTCTGTCTCTGTGCGCGTATGTGTGTGTACATGTGTTTGTGTGTGCGTATATGTGTGTACATGTGTCTGTCTGCCTCTGTGCGTGTGTGTGTGTACATGTGTGTCTGTGTGTCTGTCTCTGTGTGTGTACATGTGTCTGTCTGTGTGTCTGCCTCTGTGTGTGTATGTGTATGTACACGTGTCTGTGTGTGCGTATGTGTGTGTACATATGTCTGTACATGTGTCTATGTGTGTGTACATGTGTCTTTGTGTGTGTATGTGTGTGTACATGTGTCTGTGTGTATGTCTCTGTGCGTATGTGTGTGTACATGTGTCTGTCTGTGTGTCTGTCTCTGTGTGCGTATGTGTGTGTACATGTGTCTGTGTGTGCGTCTGCCTCCGTGTGTGTACATGTGTGCGTCTATCTCTGAGTGCGTGATGTGCAGCAGTTCTGTACCTAATTATAGCAAAACTTCATATAAAATAGAATTAAAAACTGGGAAGGCACTTTGCTGGTGAGGGCACTCACACCTAAGGGCACTCACACCTAAGGGCACTCACACCTAAGGGCACTCACACCTAAGGGCACTCACACCTAAGGGCACTCACACCTAAGGGCACTCACACCTAAGGGCAAGGGTAAGAATTGGGACGGGGCCCAAATAACCTGGATATCACCAAAGAAACTGGCAACCCTTCTTTCCACAGGCTGTTAGGTGCCTAAACAGAGCATTTTAATTTCCTGCTTTTACCTGCTTTTAAACTGCTTTTACCCCTTGTATTGTTTTGTCGATCGGTGCCACAGTGTCAGCTGTTTTTTTTATTATTTATTATTTTATATTCAGTGTATGTGTATTTATATTACATTGTATCGTGCTTTTTATTCTGTCGGTGCACACAGAGTACCTCTTTTTGCATGTATTTCCAATGTAGTTTTACTGCACATGGCCAATAAAATGAATCTGAATCTGAATCTGAACCCAAACAAAAGCCTCATTCTGCCTTGTCCTTGTACCATTCTAATGTTTCTTCTCTTGTTTTGTTAAGCACTTTGAGTCACCATACAAACAATGTGGCCATGTCCAGGTTCTGCAGGTCTGTCCTTCCTGCTGCTGTCAGACTGTACAACGAGAACTACTGAGTCTGTACATATTATTCATCTTTAAGTAAGTAATAATTACAATCCTGTTTTATACTCATTACCCGAACCCCATATGTACAGTATATAACTTTGCACTATTATATATATGTAGATGTGAGCTTTGGCCTTTGGATCTGAAGGTTATGGGTTCTATTCCAGCACAAGACCTTCTCCGACTCCCTCGAATGTCTGCTGTTGTTGTGTCCTTGGGCAAGACACCTAACCACACTTTGCCTGAAGATGGATGGATAGTTTGAATATGTTGTGTGCTCCCTGTGTGTCTCACTACTGTCCTGTCTGTGCGCTGCAACAGTGAAATTTCCCCACTGTGGCACCAATAAAGAAACTCTTGTCTAATTTCACAATCTAAATAAATGAGCAAAGTTTTTTTGTATAACACTATTCACAGACCGGGATCAAAAAGCACAATCTATGAACCATTTACAAGTGTTTTACAAAAGAACACATTTTCTTTATGGTACAACCGTTGCAAACTAAAACCTAACATCCATTTTATTTATTTTATTTCTTACCAAAACAGGCGATATTCCCGTCGAGGCCGATGTACTTGAGGTCCCACTTGGCGGCGTGCGTCTCGGTGGGGTCGCTCTCACTCATGTCGTCCATCGCAAACACCGCCTTCTGACGGAACTTTGCGTTATCGTCAAAGTTGATTTTGGCATCGAAGCAAACCACTAGAGCAGAGGATGAGAGGATGAGGGGATGAGGAAGAGAGGATGAGGAAGAGAGGATGAGAGGATGAGAGGATGAGGGGATGAGGGGATGAGGATGAGAGGATGAGGAAGAGAGGAAGAGAGAGGACGAGGATGAGAGGATGAGGAAGAGAGGATGAGGGGATGAGGAAGAGGAAGAGAGGATGAGGGGATGAGGAAGAGAGGATGAGGAAGAGAGGATGAGGACGAGGAAGAGAGGATGAGGGGATGAGGAAGAGAGGATGAGGGGATGAGGATGAGAGGATGAGGTTGAGAGGATGAGGGGATGAGGAAGAGAGGATGAGGAAGAGAGGATGAGGACGAGGAAGAGAGGATGAGGGGATGAGGAAGAGAGGATGAGGACGAGGAAGAGAGGATGAGGGGATGAGGAAGAGAGGATGAGGGGATGAGGATGAGGAAGAGGGGATCAGGGGATGAGGAAGAGAGGATGAGAGGATGAGGGGATGAGGACGAGGAAGAGAGGATGAGGGGTTGAGGATGAGAGGATGAGGAAGAGAGGATGAGGGGTTGAGGATGAGAGGATGAGAGGATGAGGAAGAGAGGATGAGGAAGAGAGGATGAGGGGATGAGGATACGAGGATGAGGACGAGGATGAGGAATATAATAGGGACAGACAGTTAAAGTAATTCCAGAATGCAGGTGTGTGTGTGTGTGTGTGTGTGTGTGTGTGTGTGTGTGTGTGTGTGTGTGTGCGTTGCACTGTATCACATTTGTATTGATATTGTGTGTTGATTAATTGTGTTCTGTGTATTATTGTGTTGAATGGTGAGGGCGGGTTGGGAACAGAAAAGCTTCTGCGCATCTGCTTCATCCAACCCTTTATCGAACCTGTATTAGTGTAAACACAGGACACGACGAGTTCTGCAGGTTTGAATTAAAACACGTTATCGCATCACTGTCCGACAAGTGCATTTTTATTTCCTCTTCCGATAATATATAAACATAACTTAACAATCAGCCCTAGTTTCACCACATGCCATTTACAATATCATTATGTTTTTACTAATGAACCGCTGTTTAATATTTGTCCGCTCGAAATGGAGTGGGAAGGAAGTCAAAACATGTAGACTCCGAACTTATATTTTAGTAATTTAATATTGCTTCAGTTCACTTTTTTGAGCATACTTTGCCTTTTTTTCATAGAGCCTCTGTGTGCTCAAGGAAATAAATGCCTAATTTTAAAGCTGCACTGACTTTGGGATTTTGAAGCCACGGACTCGCTGGCCTCGCTCTTTCTGCTCCCCTCCCCACACCCACGAAGCTATCGCCCCCCACACACACCCACTGTTGTTGACGGAGCTAGCGTCTCCCAATATGGATAATACTTGGACATGGATTTTCACGTGGCGTGACCATAGAACGATAGAACCGGGAAGCGCGGAGGAACGGGACTTTCTTTTGGATGGCTGTCTCGCTGTGTAAGCAGTAACCGGTGACGAAGACGAGGAAGCTTCAGGTTAGCTCTGCTGCTCTGTGCTAACGGACCTGTAGATTTCTCACAAAAGTGGGGGCTAGTGGTGCGCTGTGATTGGTCACAATCAGAGACCCGAAACACATTCTCTTCCTTGTTTCATCAAAACTCGATCTAAAGTATAATGTCACGCCAGCACAAATCTGCGCTACTTTTTCTTCAAAAGGACTTTCCTAATGAATACGAAAATAAAGTCAGTTAGTGCAGCTTTAATGTTACATCATAGCATCCTCTCATGTTAAAGGAGCAGTGTGTAAACATGTGGCCAAAAGTGGTACTGCAGCCTCTCCCACTCTCCCTGACTCAGGTTGCCAGATATGCAGACGAATCCAGCTGGGACCATAACAGCTGAATAGACAAGAGTTTTGTCAACAACAAATCTATAACCAACACCTTTTTCACAAAGATAGAAATCCTGGATTTATTCCTTGTTTTGTCGTTAATGATTTGAGAATCATAACGAGACCTTTTTTAGTTCTGCAGAGTCAGTTTGGATCAGTTTCAGACAGTTCTAGGTCATGTGAAGGTTGGGAATACTGCACTAGACCAGAAAGAGAGACTTCTGGATGGTCTTCATGCAAACTCAGGTCCAGTCCCCACAGGTCCGTGAGCAGAGTCCGGTCTTGGTCCGAGTACCTTGTCCTTGGGGAGTCTCTCCAAAAGGATTCACTTCCACTTGTGTTGCGTCGACTTTCAGGAACAGATCGTAAAGGTTCTTAATCTGATCCGCAGCCTGTGGAGCAGAGGATCCTCGTTCACTACAAACCCACACGCTTCACTAAAACATGCTTCTGACATTAGTCTAAAGTAAATAAGTCACATTTACATCGATCGAGACTGTGTGGCTTCTGGGAACAGAGACTCGTTATTGAGACATTCTTCATGTTCTGAAGTCAGAGGAAATGTGATTCTCCGACCACAGGCCGAGAGAAAAGGCTTTGAAGCTCCATAAATAATGTCCATAATTGTTTCCAGTCAACGTTTAAGCCTCACGGCACTTATGGAACAAGTGTCAATTCAACTGAGACGGACAAACACATTAAAATAATACAGTGGATTAGTTTATTGTTTGCCTTCTGTGGTTCTGTAGTTGGTCGTGTTGAGTTCATGTCTGAGGTGAGACTGAGGCCGGTGTCCTTTACCTGTCGCTGCAGGGGTCCTTTGAACCCTAGGTTAGCTGCCATGCGAAGTGCCTGCTCGTCCTGAACTCCTTGAAATATATCGATGACTTCCTAAAAAAAAAAGAAAATCAGTAAATGATTGATGAGAGGTTAAGGAATAATAAACAGTGAACTTATTACTGTAAAAGGAAAAAAGTGAAGCAGATCTGTTGAAGCAAAACGGTTTTCATTTAACATTTTGGGAGGTCCTAATCCAGTTTAAAACACACATCTCCAGTTGAATTGCATTTATGCATGTCTTAGCTGCATTCGTCCCAGTCATTTAACAAATGCATTCAAAAGTCCACAGCGACTAAACTAGACTGGTCCAAAAATATATTCTCCCCTCAGACAGCATCTGGAACCAAGAGGACCAAGAACCACTTTTGGGACCAAGAGCCACTTTTGGACCAAGGGCCACATTTGGACCAAGAGCCACTTTTGGACCAAGAGCCACTTTTGGACCAAGAGCCACATTTGGACCAAGAACCACTTTTGGACCAAGAGCCACTTTTGGACAAAGAACCACTTTTGGACAAAGAACCACTTTTGGACAAAGAACCACTTTTGGACAAAGAACCACTTTTGGACCAAGAACCACTTTTGGACCGAGAGCCACTTTTGGACCGAGAGCCACTTTTGGACCGAGAGCCACTTTTGGACCGAGAGCCACTTTTGGACCAAGAGCCACTTTTGGACCAAGAGCCACTTTTGGACCAAGAGCCACTTTTGGACCAAGAACCACTTTTGGACCAAGAACCACTTTTGGACCAAGGGCCACTTTTGGACCATCCTGTAAAGACATTTTCGAGAGGAAAAAAGACGCTACAAAAGGATTGGGTAATTCTCTTTCCGGGTACACCCCCACAGGCCCCACTGGATTGGACAAAGCTTTTCAGCATTTCCAACACATGTAGATATTCAATCATCTTCAGCAGATACCGATATTGGATCAAGCCATTCCTACTTTAGAATCTGGGCTAGAGAGACATGCATCCATCCATCTTCTTCCACTTTATCCATTTCTGGGTCGGGGGTGGCAGTCAGAGCACCAGCCTGAAAAATCTATTACCCATTATTATATATAAGGGCCTTGACCTAGAGCGTCAGGGGTGTTTAAAATGTACATTCTGTTACGTTGTCCTACTTTAAAAAGTGAAGTAAAATAAGGATGTTGAATCAGAGAACAGTCAAAAAGTTGAAGAATGGAAAACAGCACAAAAATACACCACTGTACCTTGAAGATGAGTTCTGGGGTTTGAGCAGCTACTTCTTCAATGTCCACGCCTCCCTGGGGACTTCCCACCATCACAGGCCCGTTACAGGAGCGGTCCATCAAAATGGCAAAATAGGTCTCTCTGCTAATGTCCAGAGCCTCAGCGACCATCACCTGGGCGTGACCATTAACACAGAGAACAAAGGAAACGGGGTCAGCAGAGAGACTGTGGCGACTTGAGTGTGTGCTGCAGCCCCATCTGTTTTAAACACAATTAACACAGACAATTGGGTGTGACACTTCACTAATGAAAGTTAAATAGCACTCTGACCATGTGTCATAAGATACCAGGCCTGACTGACACATACCAGGCGCTATGAGAGTAAGAGCTGCTGGTTTACAAAGCAGGGTGAGCCGTGCAGATAAGCGAGGAAGCCAAAGGAAACCTCATTTGGGAACAATGTACTTTGACAGGAAGTCCTTAGCAGGGTGGTTTATGGAAAGGTAAGAGTTTGCTGAAACACTGATGTGCCTTGTGTTCTGCAAACACATTATCATCCTGTCACTGAGAATGGATCACGCGCTCAACTTAAAGGGACCTAAAGGGGGAATACTAATTGTAAAGCCAGGTTTCATGAGGCTGTGTGAGGTCTGACCGGCATTATTATTATTATTATTCTTATTATGTGTTTATTTGATAGGGACAGAACAAGAAGCATTAGTACAGGAACCGATGCTGTGTTCATAGGCCGTATAGCTAACTGCTAGCTAACGGACCTGGTCCCTATATGCTGCATCTGTTACAGGCTTGTTTTGTTCTAGGTTGACTTATGTCCCTGTCAAATAAATTAATAAATGAAATAATTAAAAAGATTTGGATAGAGTGTTACTAGCTTTCAGACTAAACAAAACTAAACACACGTTACACAGATATTTTCCCCAAAAGAACTGACTAAAACAGCTCGACCTCAGCTGACAGAGAACCTGACAGAAAACCTGACAGAGAACCTGACAGAGAACCTAGAGCTTTCATAAGGAAGGATTTTAGTCATCCTTGTCATCCTGAACTTTTTTTCTTCTTAAATCCTTCAGTTTTCTTTAAATCCACACTTTACTGCCACAAACTCTGCTCAATCATCTCCTGCTCTAGCTCTGCTCTGATTGGTCAGAACACTGCCCTCTGTGCTCGTGCATGAAAGCCACACACATGTAATTGGGGCAAAGCATCATGGGAGCTGGACCACTGCGCAGAATATGGCCCTTTAATGATGACTAAAGCCTAGTGTAAAGACGCGCGTCACTTGCGCAACGCGTGGATCACCGCAAGGCCCTAATGTAGCCTGCCGCGCACCCTCAAAAATGTCTAACTACGTAAGGGTTGCCGCAGACAAGCTCCGCTGTGATTGGTCCGTGTGTGTATTGGAAGGAAGCATGAGCGGCTGCAGGAGCATGGACGAGGCGCTATGGAGCAGAGAGCTTTGAGCTTCGAAGGAACCAAAGGAAAAGTAGTTTGGGCTCAGAGCCTGATATAGACTGTGGACTAGAGTTCAGTTGACAGATCTACTCAAACCCAGGTCGACTCCTCATGACCTCAGTCTGTTTTCTACGACATGTGTTGAACTCGATGCAAATTACACTTAGTATTTTCTTGTTTACAGTTAAGTCTCTGTGGAATCCTGGAAATGTCTGCGGTGAAAACTGAAGTGCAGCAGCTTTGGATAAACACCGCTGTAGGAGGAGGTGGGAGTCCGCAAGCATCCACTGGAAAGGCTATTTTTTCTTAAACGTAGGAACTGTAGGTATTGTATAAAGTGCACCAGAACAAACTAAGATTCTTGCTCGTTAGTAGCTCACAAAACCACTATTTTCTCAACACTTAATTCACACTGGAATAGGATTATTATGCATTAAGCACTGTGCAGAGTAAACAAGAGCAGAAACCACCTACACAATGTCCTGCACTAACACAGACCTGCATTTAGACTAAGGGCTATAATATTATTAAGTAAGTAATGTTTATTTATAAAGCGCATTTAACAGACCAAGGTACAGACCCAAGGCGCTTTATAATGTTCAGAGTTCAGATCGTGTTCCATTCTCTCCACACGGTGATGAAGCGAGACCCGAACACACTGGTCCATCAACGCCTCCGACCAAACACCATCCATTCAATCACTACATTCAGACCTAGCCTGGTCGTACCACACCATAGTACTAATTTCACTTCGTACTAAGGTCTGGATTTGCCCCATTGACTCCGTTAACAGGTGGGAGGGGCCAACTCCTTTTTCAGATTTAAACAATTGGATCTGAAATTACCGTGACATATGTACGCCTGAGTGAGTCGTTAGCATTTAGCCTAGCTTTAGTCTAGCTTTAGCCATCTCCTTTGCTGCAAACGGAGCTTGTGGGGAGTCGAGCCAAAATCTTTGCCAGAGATTACATTTGCTAAACATTCCTCTTGTTCCGGCTTCAGTTTCTTGATAGAACCAGACCAGAATACTTCACTATCGCATTCTTCACCAAACTACAACCTTCCCGTTCAGCACAAACTCTTGACGTCACCCACATCTAACTACAACACCCGCCTCCCGCGCTCTCTGATTGGTCGGATGGAATTCAACCGATAGTAATCACAAACACAGGGACCAGACCCAGACGTTACATGCAGGACATGATGATGGACCTGAGAGTACGGATGGATAAGACCAGGGTAATTCAGACTATTGCAAATGTTTTTTGTGGTAGTGGAAACCGGAGGAAACCTACGCAGACACGGGGAGAACATTCAAACTCCACTCAGAAAGGCCCCGCTCCGACCAGGATTCGAACCCAGGACCTTCTTGCCGACGATTCAAATGACCTTCTAATGGGAAAACTTGTTGTGTCTCACCGTTTTGACTTTGACTCCTTCCTTTGGCGTCTGCTTTGTCGTCAGATTGAAGCCGAGCATCTTGTTGGCCAGCTCACCCACGACAGAAGGGCTGGAACACAGAGGTCACACATTCATACAAACGACAGAAGGGCTGGAACACAGATGTCACACATTCATACAAACGACAGAAGGGCTGGAACACAGAGGTCACACAGTCATACAAACGACAGAAGGGCTGGAACACAGAGGTCACACATTCATACAAACGACAGAAGGGCTGGAACACAGAGGTCACACATTCATACAAACGACAGAAGGGCTGGAACACAGAGGTCACACATTCATACAAACGACAGAAGGGCTGGAACACAGAGGTCACACATTCATACAAACGACAGAAGGGCTGGAACACAGACGTCACACATTCATACAAACGACAGAAGGGCTGGAACACAGACGTCACACATTCATACAAACGACAGAAGGGCTGGAACACAGACGTCACACATTCATACAAACGACAGAAGGGCTGGAACACAGAGGTCACACATTCATACAAACGACAGAAGGGCTGGAACACAGAGGTCACACATTCATACAAACGACAGAAGGGCTGGAACACAGAGGCTCACACATTCATACAAACGACAGAAGGGCTGGAACACAGAGGTCACACATTCATACAAACGACAGAAGGGCTGGAACACAGAGGCTCACACATTCATACAAACGACAGAAGGGCTGGAACACAGAGGTCACACATTCATACAAACGACAGAAGGGCTGGAACACAGACGTCACACATTCATACAAACGACAGAAGGGCTGGAACACAGAGGTCACACATTCATACAAACGACAGAAGGGCTGGAACACAGACGTCACACATTCATACAAACGACAGAAGGGCTGGAACACAGAGGTCACACATTCATACAAACGACAGAAGGGCTGGAACACAGACGTCACACATTCATACAAACGACAGAAGGGCTGGAACACAGAGGTCACACATTCATACAAACGACAGAAGGGCTGGAACACAGACGTCACACATTCATACAAACGACAGAAGGGCTGGAACACAGACGTCACACATTCATACAAACGACAGAAGGGCTGGAACACAGAGCACACATTCATACAAACGACAGAAGGGCTGGAACACAGAGGCTCACACATTCATACAAACGACAGAAGGGCTGGAACACAGAGGCTCACACATTCATACAAACGACAGAAGGGCTGGAACACAGAGGTCACACATTCATACAAACGACAGAAGGGCTGGAACACAGAGGTCACACATTCATACAAACGACAGAAGGGCTGGAACACAGAGGTCACACATTCATACAAACGACAGAAGGGCTGGAACACAGATGTCACACATTCATACAAACGACAGAAAGGGCTGGAACACAGAGGTCACACATTCATACAAACGACAGAAGGGCTGGAACACAGAGGTCACACATTCATACAAACGACAGAAGGGCTGGAACACAGAGGTCACACATTCATACAAACGACAGAAGGGCTGGAACACAGAGGTCACACATTCATACAAACGACAGAAGGGCTGGAACACAGAGGTCACACATTCATACAAACGACAGAAGGGCTGGAACACAGACGTCACACATTCATACAAAAACGACAGAAAGGCTGGAACACAGAGGTCACACATTCATACAAACGACAGAAGGGCTGGAACACAGAGGTCACACATTCATACAAACGACAGAAGGGCTGGAACACAGAGGCTCACACATTCATACAAACGACAGAAGGGCTGGAACACAGACGTCACACATTCATACAAACGACAGAAGGGCTGGAACACAGAGGTCACACATTCATACAAACGACAGAAGGGCTGGAACACAGAGGTCACACATTCATACAAACGACAGAAGGGCTGGAACACAGACGTCACACATTCATACAAACGACAGAAGGGCTGGAACACAGAGGCTCACACATTCATACAAACGACAGAAGGGCTGGAACACAGACGTCACACATTCATACAAACGACAGAAGGGCTGGAACACAGAGGTCACACATTCATACAAACGACAGAAGGGCTGGAACACAGACGTCACACATTCATACAAACGACAGAAGGGCTGGAACACAGAGGTCACACATTCATTCAAACGACAGAAGGGCTGGAACACAGACGTCACACATTCATACAAACGACAGAAGGGCTGGAACACAGAGGCTCACACATTCATACAAACGACAGAAGGGCTGGAACACAGACGTCACACATTCATACAAACGACAGAAGGGCTGGAACACAGAGGTCACACATTCATACAAACGACAGAAGGGCTGGAACACAGAGGTCACACATTCATACAAACGACAGAAGGGCTGGAACACAGAGGTCACACATTCATACAAACGACAGAAGGGCTGGAACACAGACGTCACACATTCATACAAACGACAGAAGGGCTGGAACACAGAAGTCACACATTCATACAAACGACAGAAGGGCTGGAACACAGAGGTCACACATTCATACAAACGACAGAAGGGCTGGAACACAGAGGTCACACATTCATACAAACGACAGAAGGGCTGGAACACAGACGTCACACATTCATACAAACGACAGAAGGGCTGGAACACAGAGGTCACACATTCATTCAAACGACAGAAGGGCTGGAACACAGAAGTCACACATTCATACAAACGACAGAAGGGCTGGAACACAGAGGTCACACATTCATACAAACGACAGAAGGGCTGGAACACAGAAGTCACACATTCATACAAACGACAGAAGGGCTGGAACACAGAGGTCACACATTCATACAAACGACAGAAGGGCTGGAACACAGAGGTCACACATTCATACAAACGACAGAAGGGCTGGAACACAGAAGTCACACATTCATACAAACGACAGAAGGGCTGGAACACAGAGGTCACACATTCATACAAACGACAGAAGGGCTGGAACACAGAGGTCACACATTCATACAAACGACAGAAGGGCTGGAACACAGACGTCACACATTCATACAAACGACAGAAGGGCTGGAACACAGAGGTCACACATTCATTCAAACGACAGAAGGGCTGGAACACAGAAGTCACACATTCATACAAACGACAGAAGGGCTGGAACACAGAGGTCACACATTCATACAAACGACAGAAGGGCTGGAACACAGACGTCACACATTCATACAAACGACAGAAGGGCTGGAACACAGACGTCACACATTCATACAAACGACAGAAGGGCTGGAACACAGAGGCTCACACATTCATACAAACGACAGAAGGGCTGGAACACAGACGTCACACATTCATACAAACGACAGAAGGGCTGGAACACAGAGGTCACACATTCATACAAACGACAGAAGGGCTGGAACACAGAGGTCACACATTCATACAAACGACAGAAGGGCTGGAACACAGACGTCACACATTCATACAAACGACAGAAGGGCTGGAACACAGACGTCACACATTCATACAAACGACAGAAGGGCTGGAACACAGACGTCACACATTCATACAAACGACAGAAGGGCTGGAACACAGACGTCACACATTCATACAAACGACAGAAGGGCTGGAACACAGAGGTCACACATTCATACAAACGACAGAAGGGCTGGAACACAGAGGCTCACACATTCATACAAACGACAGAAGGGCTGGAACACAGAGGTCACACATTCATACAAACGACAGAAGGGCTGGAACACAGACGTCACACATTCATACAGAAGGCTGACACGAAGGCTGAACACACGAGGTACACATTCATACAAACGACAGAAGGGCTGGAACACAGACGTCACACATTCATACAAACGACAGAAGGGCTGGAACACAGACGTCACACATTCATACAAACGACAGAAGGGCTGGAACACAGACGTCACACATTCATACAAACGACAGAAGGGCTGGAACACAGAGGTCACACATTCATACAAACGACAGAAGGGCTGGAACACAGAGGTCACACATTCATACAAACGACAGAAGGGCTGGAACACAGAGGTCACACATTCATACAAACGACAGAAGGGCTGGAACACAGACGTCACACATTCATACAAACGACAGAAGGGCTGGAACACAGAGGTCACACATTCATACAAACGACAGAAGGGCTGGAACACAGACGTCACACATTCATACAAACGACAGAAGGGCTGGAACACAGACGTCACACATTCATACAAACGACAGAAGGGCTGGAACACAGAGGTCACACATTCATTCAAACGACAGAAGGGCTGGAACACAGAAGTCACACATTCATACAAACGACAGAAGGGCTGGAACACAGAGGTCACACATTCATACAAACGACAGAAGGGCTGGAACACAGAAGTCACACATTCATACAAACGACAGAAGGGCTGGAACACAGAGGTCACACATTCATACAAACGACAGAAGGGCTGGAACACAGAGGTCACACATTCATACAAACGACAGAAGGGCTGGAACACAGAAGTCACACATTCATACAAACGACAGAAGGGCTGGAACACAGACGTCACACATTCATACAAACGACAGAAGGGCTGGAACACAGAGGTCACACATTCATACAAACGACAGAAGGGCTGGAACACAGACGTCACACATTCATACAAACGACAGAAGGGCTGGAACACAGAGGTCACACATTCATTCAAACGACAGAAGGGCTGGAACACAGAAGTCACACATTCATACAAACGACAGAAGGGCTGGAACACAGAGGTCACACATTCATACAAACGACAGAAGGGCTGGAACACAGACGTCACACATTCATACAAACGACAGAAGGGCTGGAACACAGAAGTCACACATTCATACAAACGACAGAAGGGCTGGAACACAGAGGTCACACATTCATACAAACGACAGAAGGGCTGGAACACAGACGTCACACATTCATACAAACGACAGAAGGGCTGGAACACAGACGTCACACATTCATACAAACGACAGAAGGGCTGGAACACAGAGGTCACACATTCATACAAACGACAGAAGGGCTGGAACACAGACGTCACACATTCATACAAACGACAGAAGGGCTGGAACACAGACGTCACACATTCATACAAACGACAGAAGGGCTGGAACACAGACGTCACACATTCATACAAACGACAGAAGGGCTGGAACACAGACGTCACACATTCATACAAACGACAGAAGGGCTGGAACACAGAGGTCACACATTCATACAAACGACAGAAGGGCTGGAACACAGAGGTCACACATTCATACAAACGACAGAAGGGCTGGAACACAGAGGTCACACATTCATACAAACGACAGAAGGGCTGGAACACAGAGGTCACACATTCATACAAACGACAGAAGGGCTGGAACACAGACGTCACACATTCATACAAACGACAGAAGGGCTGGAACACAGAGGTCACACATTCATACAAACGACAGAAGGGCTGGAACACAGACGTCACACATTCATACAAACGACAGAAGGGCTGGAACACAGAGGTCACACATTCATACAAACGACAGAAGGGCTGGAACACAGAGGTCACACATTCATACAAACGACAGAAGGGCTGGAACACAGACGTCACACATTCATACAAACGACAGAAGGGCTGGAACACAGAGGTCACACATTCATACAAACGACAGAAGGGCTGGAACACAGAGGTCACACATTCATACAAACGATAAATGAATGAGTGAATAAATATGCTCTGGTTTTGTTCATGGGTTGTTCAGGTTTGAGAGATGTTGCTCCCATTGATCTATCCCAGTGTTTTTCAACCAGTGGGTCGTGAACCGCGGCTCAAAAAGGTCGGGGAACACTGCTCTATCTGACCCATTCCCCCTGGTCCTGCCCCTGGTCCTGCCCCTGGTCCTGCCCCTGGTCCTGCCCCTGGTCCTGCCCCTGGTCCTGCCCCTGGTCCTGCCCCTGGTCCTGCCCCTGGTCCTGCCCCTGGTCCTGCCCCTGGTCCTCCCCCTGGTCCTCCCCCTGGTCCTCCCCCTGGTCCTCCCCCTGGTCCTCCCCCTGGTACACGCACACATCACTGGTACGAGCCCACAGGTACATCATGACCCTTATCTATCTTTTAGGTGGCACGGTGGCTGAGTGGTTAGCACTCTCGCCTCTCAGCAAGAAGGTCCTTGGTTCGAATCCCGGTCGGAACAGGGCCTTTCTGAGCGGAGTTTTCATGTTCTCCCTGTGTCTGAGAAGGTTTCCTCCGGGTGCTCCGGTTTCCCCTAACACTAAAAACATGTACAATAGTTCAGGGTGAATGATAGTGTGTTTGTGAGAGCGACTGTGGGACAACGGATGGAAATTAGCTCAACGCTACAATCCGGAGTGATGTGTTCATGAACTGTACTGTCCCGACGAAATAAACTATAGATACATCTACATCACTGGTACGAGCACACATGGTACGAGCCCACAGGTACATCATGACTCTGTAAAGCAGACACCAGCGTCCCTCCGGAGGCTCCTCTTTTAGAAGTGAATATAAATGAGAGCAGGGGTTGTTCTGGTCCTTTGATAGATGAGCAGGGGTTGTTCTGGTCCTTTGATAGATGAGCAGGGGTTGTTCTGGTCCTTTGATAGATGAGCAGGGGTTGTTCTAGTCCTTTGATAGATGAGCAGGGGTTGTTCTGGTCCTTTGATAGATGAGCAGGGGTTGTTCTGGTCCTTTGATAGATGAGCAGGGGTTGTTCTGGTCCTTTGATAGATGAGCGCAGGGGTTGTTCTAGTCCTTTGATAGATGAGCAGGGGTTGTTCTGGTCCTTTGATAGATGAGCAGGGGTTGTTCTGGTCCTTTGATAGATGAGCAGGGGTTGTTCTAGTCCTTTGATAGATGAGCAGGGGTTGTTCTAGTCCTTTGATAGATGAGCAGGGGTTGTTCTAGTCCTTTGATAGATGAGCAGGGGTTGTTCTAGTCCTTTGATAGATGAGCAGGGGTTGTTCTAGTCCTTTGATAGATGAGCAGGGGTTGTTCTGGTCCTTTGATAGATGAGCAGGGGTTGTTCTAGTCCTTTGATAGATGAGCAGGGGTTGTTCTAGTCCTTTGATAGATGAGAAGGTGAACCGAGCACTCCTGTCACTGTCTAGGGACGCCAACTTCAGCACGTCTCACTTTGAACAACTTCACAGCTTTTCCACAGCAAAGTAGAGTGAGGAAGATGAGGATGATGAAAAGGATGATGCATGTCCAGAACAGATGTCATAAATCACTATTGTGCCCTAAAAGTAGTTTTATATGAATATATATATATATTAACCACAGCGACATCACCACGTGTCACTGTCAATTCACTGACTGTGTCCCAGAGGCTAATGCTAATGCTAATGTACAGATTTAAATCTACCGCTGCTAATGTACAGACTGTATATATTAACGGACAGAGTCACGCCTACAGTGTCTCCGCCGTTCTAACTAATGGGCCAAAAAATGTGCTCGACTGGAGCTATCCAAAATGGCCGCGAGTGGTCCCGCCCACAAGAAAACTGAAAAAACGCATCTGCGCATGCGTCAGCCGGAGCAGCTTCATTCATTTGAACGAGAGACTTCAGAAATTCACAGCAAGTAAACTAGAGTGGACCAAAACACTCCCTCAGCATTGACACACATGTGGAACGGAGCTTTGGGCCAAGAGGCATTGGCTAATTCTACTTCTGGGTCCACCCCCACAGGCCCGGGGTGGTATTGCAGCATGTCAGCGCACGTCATTTTGGCCACTTTTGAGCTAATGTACAGATGTAAACATACTGCTGCTAACATGTACAGATGTAAACATACTGCTGCTAATGTACAGATGTAAACATACTGCTGCTAATGTACAGATGTAAACATACTGCTGCTAATGTACAGATGCAAACATACTGCTGCTAATGTACAGATGCAAACATACTGCTGCTAATGTACAGATGTAAACATACTGCTGCTAATGTACAGATGTAAACATACTGCTGCTAATGTACAGATGTAAACATACTGCTGCTAATGTACAGATGTAAACATACTGCTGCTAATGTACAGATGTAAACATACTGCTGCTAATGTACAGATGTAAACATACTGCTGCTAATGTACAGATGTAAACATACTGCTGCTAATGTACAGATGTAAACATACTGCTGCTAATGTACAGATGTAAACATACTGCTGCTAATGTACAGATGTAAACATACTGCTGCTAATGTACAGATGTAAACATACTGCTGCTAATGTACAGATGTAAACATACTGCTGCTAATGTACAGATGTAAACATACTGCTGCTAATGTACAGGTGTAAACATACTGCTGCTAATGTACAGATGTAAACATACTGCTGCTAACATGTACAGATGTAAACATACTGCTGCTAACATGTACAGATGTAAACATACTGCTGCTAACATGTACAGATGTAAACATACTGCTGCTAACATGTACAGATGTAAACATACTGCTGCTAATGTACAGATGTAAACATACTGCTGCTAATGTACAGATGTAAACATACTGCTGCTAACATGTACAGATGTAAACATACTGCTGCTAATGTACAGATGTAAACATACTGCTGCTAATGTACAGATGTAAACATACTGCTGCTAACATGTACAGATGCAAACACACTGCTGCTAATGTACAGATGTAAACATACTGCTGCTAATGTACAGATGTAAACATACTGCTGCTAACATGTACAGATGTAAACATACTGCTGCTAATGTACAGATGTAAACATACTGCTGCTAACATGTACAGATGCAAACATACTGCTGCTAATGTACAGATGTAAACATACTGCTGCTAATGTACAGATGCAAACACACTGCTGCTAATGTACAGATGTAAACATACTGCTGCTAATATACAGATGTAAACATACTGCTGCTAATGTACAGATGTAAACATACTGCTGCTAACATGTACAGATGTAAACATACTGCTGCTAACATGTACAGATGTAAACATACTGCTGCTAATGTACAGATGTAAACATACTGCTGCTAACATGTACAGATGTAAACATACTGCTGCTAATGTACAGATGCAAACATACTGCTGCTAATGTACAGATGTAAACATACTGCTGCTAACATGTACAGATGTAAACATACTGCTGCTAATGTACAGATGTAAACATACTGCTGCTAATGTACAGATGTAAACATACTGCTGCTAACATGTACAGATGTAAACATACTGCTGCTAATGTACAGATGTAAACATACTGCTGCTAATGTACAGATGTAAACATACTGCTGCTAATGTACAGATGTAAACATACTGCTGCTAATGTACAGATGTAAACATACTGCTGCTAATGTACAGATGTAAACATACTGCTGCTAACATGTACAGATGTAAACATACTGCTGCTAATGTACAGATGTAAACATACTGCTGCTAACATGTACAGATGCAAACATACTGCTGCTAATGTACAGATGTAAACATACTGCTGCTAATGTACAGATGCAAACACACTGCTGCTAATGTACAGATGTAAACATACTGCTGCTAATGTACAGATGTAAACATACTGCTGCTAACATGTACAGATGTAAACATACTGCTGCTAATGTACAGATGTAAACATACTGCTGCTAATGTACAGATGTAAACATACTGCTGCTAATGTACAGATGTAAACATACTGCTGCTAATGTACAGATGCAAACACACTGCTGCTAATGTACAGATGTAAACATACTGCTGCTAATGTACAGATGTAAACATACTGCTGCTAATGTACAGATGTAAACATACTGCTGCTAATGTACAGATGCAAACACACTGCTGCTAATGTACAGATGTAAACATACTGCTGCTAATGTACAGATGTAAACATACTGCTGCTAACATGTACAGATGTAAACATACTGCTGCTAATGTACAGATGTAAACATACTGCTGCTAACATGTACAGATGTAAACATACTGCTGCTAATGTACAGATGCAAACATATAACTGCACTTTGTTTACATAAGAATACACAGTACTTTATACTTGCCTCTTATTGCCAAATGTAAAATATTTATACTTCTTTATATTATGTTCAAAATAAAGATCTTATAGTTATTTCTTTGATGCTAGAGTTAGATATTTAGTTTTATTTTAAGTTATTGTTCATTTATCTTGTGCCTACTGTTCTATAACTTGTGATGCAACACTGAAATTTCCCCACTGAGGACCAACAAAGTATCTCCTAATCTTAATCTTAATGTATATTTCAGATGAAAAAGGCTGCGAGCGCATCTGAAACACTTTTATTGTGAATGATCGGCTGAAAATATCTGCTGTAAATAAACCTGAGCAGCTTTCGGGATTTGAAAAAAGTAGCACGGGACGAATAATACTTCTGCCAAACTCACAATCCTCTTTTTAATTGAGGGAAGTTGCACAAGAAAAGAAAAATAATGGTTATTTACGACACATATAATCTTGGGAACGTTTCATTTTCTGCTTTAAAAAGGTCAATTTCGGTTCAGTAAAAGTGAAAGTAAAAGTAAAAAAGTAACTTACTCTTTAGTTAAGTGCACGCCACCTTTAAGGCCACTGTCGAACACGCCTTTGCCTCGACCTCCAGCCAAGATCTGGGCCTTCAGAACCAGCTCCCGGGCATCTGGGAACAAGACCAGGATCAGGCAACGTGGAAGACCGGGTTTTAAAGATGCAGTTAGCGATGTTGTTAGCTTAGCCGTAGCACCAACTCGAATCCACTCCCCCCTCCCCTCGCCTCCCTCTCCACCAAACCACTCCCCCCCTCCCCCTCCCCTCCCCTCCACCAAACCACTCCCCCTCCCCTCCCCTCCCCTCCACCAAACCACTCCCCCCTCTCAATCAAAACCCTCCCTCTCCACCAAACCACTACCCCCCTCCCCTCCCCTACCCCTCCCCTCCACCAAACCACTCCCCCCTCTCAATCAAAACCCTCCCTCTCCACCAAACCACTACCCCCCTCCCCTCCCCTCCCTCCCCTCCCCCTCCACCAAACCACTCCCCTCCCTCCCTCTCCATCAAACCCCTCCCCCCCTCCTCACCCTCTCCATCAAACCCCTCCCTCTCCACCAAACCACTCCCCCCTCCACTGCCCCCTTCCTCTCCCCCTCCCTTCCCCCCCCCCCATTCCTCTCCCCCCTTCCTCTCCACCAAACCACTCCCCTCCACTCGCCCCTTCCTCCCCCCCCCTTCCACTCCCCCCCTTCCTCTCACCAAACCACTCCCCCACTCCACTCGCCCCCTTCCCCCCCCCTTCCTCTCCCCCCCCCCTTCCTCTCCCCCCCTTCCTCTCCACCAAACCACTCCCCCCTCCACTGCCCCCTTCCTCCCCCCCCCTTCCTCTCCCCCCCTTCCTCTCCCCCTTCCTCTCCCCCCCTTCTCTCCACCAAACCACTCCCCCCTCCACTCGCCCCCTTCCTCTCCCCCCCTTCCTCTCCACCAAACCACTCCCCCCTCCACTCGCCCCCTTCCTCTCCCCCCCTTCCTCTCCCCCTTCCTCTCCACCAAACCACTCCCCCCTCCACTCGCCCCCTTCCTCTCCCCCCCTTCCTCTCCACCAAACCACTCCCCCCTCCCTCTCCACCAAACCACTCCCCCTCCCCTCCCTCTAAATCAAAACCCCTCCCTCTCCAACAAACCCCTCCCTCCCCTCCCCTCCAAACCCCTCCCCCTCCCTCTCCAACAAACCCTCCCTCCCTCCCCTCCAAACCCCCCCCCCTCCTCTCAACAAACCCCTCCCTCCCCTCCCCTCCAAACCCTTCCCCCTCCCCTCCAAACCCCTCCCCCTCCCTCTCCAACAAACCCCTCCCTCCCCTCCCTCCAAACCCTTCCCCTCCCCTCCAAACCCCTTCCCCCTCCCCTCCAAACCCTTCCCCCTCCCCTCCAAACCCCTCCCCCCCTCCTCTCCATCTCAATCAAATCATCAATATTTGCTTCCAAAACCAAATCTAACTCAGACAAGATTGAAAACTCCTTTTTACAAGTCCAGCCCACTTAAATACACACAGATTTAAATGAGACCTTTGGGATTTAGCACGTCAAAAATACAGGACAGAGAATCCACAGAGAATCAAGGCAACAATGGCTTCTTACAAGGCCTAGTTTGGGCCCAACCGAGTACAACCGCCCTCGCCCGGACTGGCTGGGACTAATACAATACAGCAGAGGATTCAGTATAAGCCACACATGACTCATTAAAATAACAAACAACATTCCAATGTCAAAAAACAAACCTATGAACATCAACAGTGCACTACAAAGTTTACCACAACTTCTTAGACTCCAACCAACAACATTTAACACAATAATCACACAATCACGTATATAATATTCAAGCACACGTGTCTTTAGTCAGAATTATAAATATGATTAACAATACATTCCAAACGTTTTTTTCATGATAAAAAGTCCACAGCCTTAAGACTGTTTATGCTTCTTGTAATGCACGGACAACCTAACGGTAACCACGGTAACCTAAACATTATTCATGTATTACCAATGTTGACTACAGCCTTTTCCACAGAATATGAGCAGTAACTAGAGCAAATGTTAGAGATTTCAATTGCATATATTTAAATTATTGATTCCGCACTTGTTCACCTTCTGGACTCCAATGACATTTACAATCAATTTGAAATCAATAACTTTTTTCTTCTGAAACCTGAGGACATCAATCCCGTCTCCCCTTCGCTGTCAGCAACACCTTGGAAAGTAAATGCATCGCACTTGGAGGACGACCCTAAACTGTCCACTCATCTCCCGCCAACTATCAAAGATGGACGCCAGTATGCAGGCTGTTATTAGGGAGGAGGGGGGTCCTGACAGGTGGGGGCCCTCAAGCTGGAAGTGCGGGGGCGGAGCACAAGTGGTCTGGAAGTGGTCAGAGCAGTGACTGGAGAAGACCTCGACCTTGGCTGAAGAAGATGCATCCCGTTTGAAAGGAGGAAAAAATAAACATCAAGCTGTCACGTGGGTAAAATGAAATGAGCCCAAAAAACGCAGAACTGTGAATTAATGGGTTTAATTAAAAACTGTAAAACAAGCAAAATCCAGATAAAACACAGGGAACGAGGACAGAACGCAAAGAGATGTGGGAAAGAAAAGGGTTTAAATGAGAAGTGTGTAAAAATCTGTCTAAAAGTGGTACTGCAGCCTCTCCCAGACTCAGGTTGCCAGATATGCAGACGAATCCTAACCTTGCCTGAAGCTGAATTCTCGCGGTATTTGTGGTTCACAAACACTTGAGAATACATCTTGCCCCGCTCCCGCCAACCCTTTTCGAGTAGAACATCTAGGTGTTCAAGCCAATCACGCGCCAGTCTGGGGGTTTAGGGCGGGAGATCCGGGTTTGACGAAAGAAAGAAGTGCCGGGCCGAAGCAGAACAAGCTGAGGCTATCAAGTCAGTTTTAGCAGAATCTCCAATTTCTTTTTTGAAAGATGAACAGCGAGAGGCGCTTTGTGCATTTCTGGACATCAAATAATGTTACCGAGATTGATTTAAGTCAAACCTTGGTAGGCGGGCACACAGCGTCACTTCGCCCAATCAGCTTGAAGTATTCTGATGCTTATCCCTCCTTTCCCCGAAAGGATTCTCCTGCAGAAGTCCCAGATTGATATTGTGGAGAACGCATTAGAGTTCTACACAATCATCAATCTGCCTCTTGCCAGGTTAGACGAATCCAGCTGGGACCATAACAGCTGAATAGACAAGAGTTTTGTCAACAACAAATCTATAACAACACCTTTTTCACAAAGATAGAAATCCTGGTTTTATTCCTTGTTTTGTCGTTAATAATTTGAGAATCATAACGAGACCTTTTTTAGTTCTGCGCCACATGGTACTTTACCAGTGAGATTAGCTCCACGCGGTGAGTTCTGGCGCCCGGATCACAGACTTTCTGATTGGTGAAACGGTGGAGGGCGGGACATCAAAATGAAAACAATAACAAGATTTAGAGGCTGGAAAAGTAATTTAGAAATTCAAATATCTCTGAACTACTGTTATCAGTTAAAGAAGTATTGGAACGGAGCAGTTTATGATGATGACAGATTAGGGCCCTTTAATGATGACAGATTAGGACCCTTTAATGATGACAGATTAGGACCCTTTAATGATGACAGATTAGGGCCCTTTAATGATGACAGATTAGGGCCCTTTAATGATGACAGATTAGGACCCTTTAATGACGACAGATTAGGACCCTTTAGTGACGACAGATTAGGACCCTTTAATGACGACAGATTAGGACCCTTTAATGACGACAGATTAGGGCCCTTTAATGATGACTTGACATTAAAATCGTACATTTAACTACTTTAAACACACAAGCCTAATGAGACGCCGGTGACACACAACAGGAAGTAGATTTAAAAACACAGGAAGTAACAAATTACAAAATAAAACAGGGAATTAACCTAAACCGTGGCATGGGCAGAATTTAGAGAGAAAAGTAGCAGTCTCCAAAAATGCCTGGGACAGTTTTGCCGGGATTAAAATAGAGCAGAATTAGCTGCAGAGAGTCGAGAAGCTATAGCGTAAACGAGCAGAAAGGTGCGCTCTTATGCAAAACAGCCTTTGAAAAGAGTCATAAATGAATAAATATGTTAATAAAAAACTGCTTCGGTGCAAAATTAAAACAAGTTCAAAGAGAGATGGGAGAAAAGAGCCCCGCAGGCGAGTTCAGCCGAGACGGGCCACAGGAAACAGCTTTTTCTGGGTTTTTAAAAAGAAGAAAGGAAGCAGCACGTAGCTGGAAAAAGAACAAGAAAGTGAAAGTTTATGATTATAAAAAGGCGTAAAAAGCCATGGGTGGTAATGAGGTGAAGAGAGGCAGATGTCTTTTTTACTCCACTCACAAAAAGTCACTGCAGCAGGATCAGCGATTATGAAAGGCCTCTGAAGGATTAATGCATTTAATGGATTAATGGAGCAGAGGGAAGAAGCTGGAACACAGACTGGAGCAGTGGGAAGAAGCTGGAACACAGACTGGAGCAGAGGGAAGAAGCTGGAACACAGAGAGGAGCAGTGGGAAGAAGCTGGAACACAGAGAGGAACAGTGGGAAGAAGCTGGAACACAGAGAGGAGCAGTGGGAAGAAGCTGGAACACAGACAAGAGCAGAAGGAAGAAGCTGGAACACAGACTGGAGCAGAGGGAAGAAGCTAGAACACAGACAGGAGCAGAGGGAAGAAGCTGGAACACAGACAGGAGCAGAGGGAAGAAGCTGGAACACAGACAGGAGCAGTGGGAAGAAGCTGGAACACAGACTGGAGCAGAGGGAAGAAGCTGGAACACAGAGAGGAGCAGTGGGAAGAAGCTGGAACACAGACAGGAGCAGAAGGAAGAAGCTGGAACACAGACTGGAGCAGAGGGAAGAAGCTGGAACACAGACAGGAGCAGAGGGAAGAAGCTGGAACACAGACTGGAGCAGAAGGAAGAAGCTGGAACACAGACTGGAGCAGAAGGAAGAAGCTGAAACACAGACAGGAGCAGTGGGAAGAAGCTGGAACACAGACAGGAGCAGAAGGAAGAAGCTGGAACACAGACAGGAGCAGAGGGAAGAAGCTGGAACACTGACTGGAGCAGAGGGAAGAAGCTGGAACACAGACAGGAGCAGGAGGAAGAAGCTAGAACACAGACAGGAGCAGAGGGAAGAAGCTAGAACACAGACAGAAGCAGAGGGAAGAAGCTAGAACACAGACAGGAGCAGAGGGAAGAAGCTGGAACACTGACAGGAGCAGGAGGAAGAAGCTGGAACACTGACTGGAGCAGAGGGAAGAAGCTGGAACACTGACAGGAGCAGGAGGAAGAAGCTAGAACACAGACAGGAGCAGAGGGAAGAAGCTAGAACACAGACAGGAGCAGAGGGAAGAAGCTGGAACACAGGCTGGAGCAGTGGGAAGAAGCTGGAACACAGACTGGAGCAGAGGGAAGAAGCTAGAACACAGACAGGAGCAGAGGGAAGAAGCTGGAACACAGACAGGAGCAGAGGGAAGAAGCTGGAACACAGACAGGAGCAGTGGGAAGAAGCTGGAACACAGACTGGAGCAGAGGGAAGAAGCTGGAACACAGAGAGGAGCAGTGGGAAGAAGCTGGAACAGAGGGAAGAAGCTGGAACACAGACAGGAGCAGAAGGAAGAAGCTGGAACACAGACTGGAGCAGAGGGAAGAAGCTGGAACACAGACAGGAGCAGAGGGAAGAAGCTGGAACACAGACTGGAGCAGAAGGAAGAAGCTGGAACACAGACTGGAGCAGAAGGAAGAAGCTGAAACACAGACAGGAGCAGTGGGAAGAAGCTGGAACACAGACAGGAGCAGAAGGAAGAAGCTGGAACACTGACTGGAGCAGAGGGAAGAAGCTGGAACACAGACAGGAGCAGGAGGAAGAAGCTAGAACACAGACAGGAGCAGAGGGAAGAAGCTAGAACACAGACAGAAGCAGAGGGAAGAAGCTAGAACACAGACAGGAGCAGAGGGAAGAAGCTGGAACACTGACAGGAGCAGGAGGAAGAAGCTGGAACACTGACTGGAGCAGAGGGAAGAAGCTGGAACACTGACAGGAGCAGGAGGAAGAAGCTAGAACACAGACAGGAGCAGAGGGAAGAAGCTGGAACACAGACAGGAGCAGAGGGAAGAAGCTAGAACACAGACAGGAGCAGAGGGAAGAAGCTAGAACACAGACAGGAGCAGAGGGAAGAAGCTAGAACACAGACAGGAGCAGAGGGAAGAAGCTGGAACACAGGCTGGAGCAGTGGGAAGAAGCTGGAACACAGGCTGGAGCAGAGGGAAGAAGCTGGAACACAGACAGGAGCAGAAGGAAGAAGCTGGAACACAGGCTAGAGCAGTGGGAAGAAGCTGGAACACAGGCTGGAACAGTGGGAAGAAGGGCAGATGTCTGTTTTTTACCCCACTCACAAAAATTCACTGTATCAGGATCAGCGATTATGAAACGCCTCTGAAGGATTAACGCACATAACACAACTTCAACAAAACCCAAGCAAACAGAGGAGTGGACAATAAAAAAGATGTAAAATTAAAGCCGCAAGCGGCGTCGAACGGCCCTCGCCGCACCGCGCGACTCCCCACACCGCGCACACCCCCCGCACCAAGCCACCCCGCACCACGCCACCCTGCACCACGCCGTCCCGCATCACGCCGCCCCGCACCAAGCCGCAACGCGCCGCTCCACAACGCCCCGCACACTGCCCCGCACTACGCCGCACCACACCGTACCACGCAGCACCGCTCAAAGGAGGTGGCGCCGCCGTGTGATGATTTGTTGATTTGTTTGATTGTTAGTCAAATTGTAATGAATATGATAAGTAGAGCTGGTTTGGCTCCCCATGTAAACTTTGACTCAGTCTGTAGGGGGCGCTAATGGGCCAATTTCCAATATTTCACTTTAACCTGACCTAAACCCTGGAATTGAACAATGGATTAAAGTTTTGTGCAAATCAGACTTTGTTTGTGCAAACAGGAGCAAAATTAATGTTGTCAAAAACGGCCAAAAAAAACTTCACTTTGCCGCTCCGCTGCTCAAACAACGTTTCACTGATCAAAATTCCCTGAAGTCATTTTGATGGTACATGTGTTGAGATGATGTGGAGCGATTTTGAGGCAAATCGGTAACGGCCGAGGCTGGTTTGATGTTTGTGTGAGGTGTACATTTGCAATGAATGGGGAGCGTTTTCTGTCGCCACGGCAACAGGGTAAAAAATAAGCCTTGGACCCAATTGACTTTTTGAATCAAGAGGGCAAAACAGATTTATGTGCAAAATTTCAAACATTTTGAAAAAACTAAATTTGAAAATGCCTATCTAAAACTTTGAAATAGTCTGTAGGGGGCGCTAATGTGTCAATTTGAATTAATTCACTTTCAAATGACCTAGACCCTAGAGTTGAACAATGTATTAAAGTTTTGTGCAAATCAGACTTTGTTTGTGCAAACGGGAGCAAATTTAATGTTGTCAAAAACGGCCAAAAAAAGGTCACATTTTGCCGCTCCGCTGCTCGAACAATGTTTCACTGATCAAAAATCCCTGAGGTCATTTTGAAGGTACATGTGTTGAGATGATGTGGAGCGATTTTGAGGCGAATCGGTGAAACGGCCGAGGAGGAGTCGCTTTCCAACCGACATGTATGAAAACTTTTGCTGTTCATTTTTCCATTTTGCAGTGAAATTTATGGGCTTCCTGTTTGTCAGAGGGCGGGGCCATAATAATATTTTTTTCTTGTCTTGACTTGAGGAACATGTGTACCAAATTTCATGTTTCTACGACAAACTTGACCTCCGAAAAGTCCCATAGGGGTATTATTTTGGCTGTTGTAGGTGGCGCTGTTCTGTCATTTTTTGAGTCCCATAAAAATAAACACCAAAATATCAAATTTTTCGCCAGGTCTGATTTTTGGGCCAAAATTAACAACTTTTCATGCATGTTCAGGGGGTCAAATTAAGGCTCAAAGTGCAGAAGAAAAAAGAAAGAAAGAAAGAAAGAAATAAATAAATTAAAGCCGCAAGCGGCGTCGAACGGCCCTCGCCGCACCGCGCGCACCCCCCCGTTCCACGCCGCCCTGCACCAAGCCACCCCGCACCAAGCCACCCCGCACCACGCCGTCCCGCCTCACGCCGCCCCGCACCAAGCCGCAACGCACCGCTCCACAACGCCCCGCACTACGCCGCACCACACCGTACCACGCAGCACCGCGCATAGGAGGTGGCGCCGCCGTGTGAGGATTGGTTCCCGTAGCCATAGAAGAACTTAGTCAAATTGTAATGAATATGATAAGTAGAGCTGGTTTGGCTCCCCATGTAAACTTTGACTCAGTCTTTAGGGGGCGCTAATGGGCCAATATTTCACTTTCACCTGACCTAAACCCTGGAGTTGAACAATGGATTCAAGTTTAATGCAAATCAGTCTTTGTTTGTGCAAACGGGAAAAAAATGTATGTTGTCAAAAACGGCCAAAAAAACACTCAGTTTGCCGCTCGGCTGCTCAAACAACGTTTCACTGATAAAAATTCCCTGAGGTCATTTTGAAGGTAAATGTGTTGAGATAATTTGGAGCAATTTTGAGGCCAATCGGTGAAACGGCCGAGGAGGAGTCGCTTTCCAACCGACATGTATGAAAATGATTGGTTTTCATTTTTCCATTTTGCAATGAAATTTATGGGCTTCCTCTTTGTCAGAGGGCTTAGCCATAATAACATTTTTTCCATGTCTTGACTTTAGGAACATGTGTACCAAATTACATGGTTCTACAACAATTTTGACCTCAAACCCTTCCCATAGGCATTTTTAAATTGGCTGTTGTAGGTGGCGCTATAGAGCCAATTTCAAATTTTTAACTTTCAAATGACCTAGACCCAAGAGTTGAACCATGATTTCAAGTTTTGTGCAACCCAGACTTTGTTTGCGCAAACAGAAGCAATTTTTCTATTGTCAAAAATGGAAAAAAAATACGCCACTTTTTGGCGCTCCGCTGCTCAAACAACATTTTACTGATCAAAGGTCTGTGAAATCAAACTGATGGTACATGTGTTTAGACGATGTGGAGCGATTTTGAGACAAATCGGTGAAACAGCCGAGGAGGAGTCGCTTTCCAACCGACACGTGTGAAAAGGACCATGTTTCATTTGTCCATTTTGAAGTGAAATTTATGGGCTTCCTGTTTGTCAGGGGGCGGGGCCATAATAACTTTTATCTCATGTCTTGAGATGAGAAACATGTGTACCAAATTTCATGCCTGTACGACAAACTTGACCTTGAAACGCTCCAATACTAAAAACTTTGACCCCATCTCTAGGGGGCGCTAACGAGCCGAGTTCAAATATTTCACTTTCAAATGACCTAGACCCTAGAGTTGAACAATGTATTAAAGTTTTGTGAAATCAGACTTTGTTTGTGCAAACAGGAGCAAATTTAATCTTGTCAAAAACGGCCAAAAAAAGGTCACATTTTGCCGCTCCGCTGCTCGAACAATGTTTCACTGATCAAAAATCCCTGAGGTCATTTTGAAGGTACATGTGTTGAGATGATGTGGAGCGATTTTGAGGCCAATCGGTGAAACGGCCGAGGAGGAGTCGCTTTCCAACCGACATGTATGAAAATGATTAGTTTTCATTTTTCCATTTTGCAATGAAATTTATGGGCTTCCTGTTTGTCAGAAGGATTAGCCACAATAAAAAAATTTCCATGTCTTGACTTGAGGAATATGTGTACCAAATTACATGGTTCTACGACAATTTTGACCTCGAACCCATCCCATAGGCATTTTTAAATTGGCTGTTGTAGGTGGCGCTATAGAGCCAATTTCAAAATTTAAACTTTCAGATGACCTAAATCCAAGAGTTGAACCATGGATTCAAGTTTTGAGCCAATCACACTTTGTTTGTGCAAACGGAAGCAATTTTTCTATTGTCAAAACCTGAGAAAAAATACGCCACTTTTTGGCGCTCCGCTGCTCAAACAACGTTTCACTGATCAAAATTCCCTGAAGTCATTTTGATGGTACATGTGTTGAGATGATGTTGAGCGATTTTGAGGCGAATCGGTGATACGGCCGAGGCTGGTTTGATGTTTGTGTGAGGTGTACATTTGCAATGAATGGGGAGCGTTTCTCGTCGCCACGGCAACAGGGTAAAAAATAAGCCTTGGACCCAATCGACTTTTTGAATCAAGAGGGCAAAACAGATGTATGTGCAAAATTTCAAACATTTTGAAAAAACTAAATTTGAAAATGCCCATTTAAAACTTTGAAATAGTCTGTAGGGGGCGCTAATGTGTCAATTTGAATCATTTAACTTTCAAATGACCTAGACCCTAGAGTTGAACAATGTATTAAAGTTTTGTGAAAATCAGACTTTGTTTGTGCATACGGGAGCAAATTTAATGTTGTCAAAAACGGCCAAAAAAAGGTCACATTTTGCCGCTCCGCTGCTCGAACAATGTTTCACTAATCAAAAATCCCTGAGGTCATTTTGAAGGTACATGTGTTGAGATGATGTGGAGCGATTTTGAGGCGAATCGGTGAAACGGCCGAGGAGGAGTCGCTTTCCAACCGACATGTATGAAAACTTTTGCTGTTCATTTTTCCATTTTGCAGTGAAATTTATGGGCTTCCTGTTTGTCAGAGGGCGGGGCCATAATAATATTTTTTTCTTGTCTTGACTTGACAAACATGTGTACCAAATTTCATGACTCTATGACAAACTTGATCTCCAAAACTCCCATAGGGGTATTATTTTGGCTGTTGTAGGTGGCGCTGTTCCGTCATTTTTTGAGTCCCATAAAAATAAACACCAAAATATCAAATTTTTCGCCAGGTCTGATTTTTGGGCCAAAATTAACAACTTTTCATGCATGTTCAGGGGGTCAAATTAAGGCTCAAAGTGCAGAAGAAAAAAGAAAGAAAGAAAGAAAGAAATTAAAGCCGCAAGCGGCGTCGAACGGCCCTCGCCGCACCGCGCGACTCCCTGCACCGCGCGCACTCCCCGCACCAAGCCGCCCTGCACCATGCCGTCCCGCACCATGCCGTCCCGCACCATGCCGTCCCGCACCACGCCGTCCCGCACCACGCCGCCCCGCACCAAGCCGCAACGCGCCGCTCCACAACGCCCCGCACTACGCCGCAGCACCGCTAAAAGGAGGTGGCACCGCCGTGTGATGATTTGTTTCCGTAGCCATAGAAGAATGTTAGTCAAATTGTAATGAATATGATAAGTAGAGCTGGTTTGGCTCCCCATGTAAACTTTGACACAGTCTGTAGGGGGCGCTAATGGGCCAATTTCCAATATTTCACTTTAACCTGACCTAAACCCTGGAATTGAACAATGGATTAAAGTTTTGTGCAAATCAGACTTTGTTTGTGCAAACAGGAGCAAAATTAATGTTGTCAAAAAGAGCCAAAAAAAACCTCACATTTTGCCGCTCCGCTGCTCAAACAACGTTTCACGGATCAAAATTCCCTGAAGTCATTTTGAAGGTACATGTGTTGAGATGATGTGGAGCGATTTTGAGGCGAATCGGTGAAACAGCCGAGGCTGGTTTGATGTTTGTGTGAGGTGTACATTTGCAATGAATGGGGAGCGTTTCTCGTCGCCACGGCAACAGGGTAAAAAATAAGCCTTGGACCCAATTGACTTTTTGAATCAAGAGGGCAAAACAGATTTATGTGCAAAATTTCAAACATTTTGAAAAAACTAAATTTGAAAATGCCCATCTAAAACTTTGAAATAGTCTGTAGGGGGCGCTAATGTGTCAATTTGAATTAATTCACTTTCAAACGACCTAGACCCTAGAGTTGAACAATGTATTAAAGTTTTGTGCAAATCAGACTTTGTTTGTGCAAACGGGAGCAAATTTAATGTTGTCAAAAACGGCCAAAAAAAGGTCACATTTTGCCGCTCCGCTGCTCAAACAATGTTTCACTGATCAAAAATCCCTGAGGTCATTTTGAAGGTACATGTGTTGAGATGATGTGGAGCGATTTTGAGGCGAATCGGTGAAACGGCCGAGGAGGAGTCGCTTTCCAACCGACATGTATGAAAACTTTTGCTGTTCATTTTTCCATTTTGCAGTGAAATTTATGGGCTTCCTGTTTGTCAGGGGGCAGGGCCATAATTATATTTTTTTCTTGTCTTGACTTGAGGAACATGTGTACCAAATTTCATGGCTCTACGACAAACTTGACCTCCGAAAAGTCCCATAGGGGTATTATTTTGGCTGTTGTAGGTGGCGCTGTTCTGGCATTTTTTGAGTCCCATAAAAATAAACACCAAAATATCAAATTTTTCGCCAGGTCTGATTTTTGGGCCAAAATTAACAACTTTTCATGCATGTTCAGGGGGTCAAATTAAGGCTCAAAGTGCAGAAGAAAAAAGAAAGAAAGAAATAAATAAATAAAAAAGGAATTTTTTGTGACTTGTCTCGAGCAAAAACAATATAGGTTTCAATGGCATGTGATTCATCATTTTAAAGCGTTTGAGTTTACGCACGCAACCGTCACGTTTTGGTGAGTGACGGGCGCTGACGCGTCCGTCACGCACCGCCACCATTTGTTTTCACCATTGTGAAAGCAATAGGCCCTTACCCCGTTCGGGGCTCGGGCCTAAGTAAAGCCGCAAGCGGCGTCGAACGGCCCTCGCCGCACCGCGCGCGTCCCGAACGGCGCCGTCCCGCACCACGCCGCCCCGCACCACGCCGCCCCGCACCAAGCCGCAACGCGCCGCTCCACAACGCCCCGCACTACGCCGCACCACACCGTACCACGCAGCACCGCTAAAAGGAGGTGGCACCGCCGTGTGATGATTTGTTTCCGTAGCCATAGAAGAATGTTAGTCAAATTGTAATGAATATGATAAGTAGAGCTGGTTTGGCTCCCCATGTAAACTTTGACACAGTCTGTAGGGGGCGCTAATGGGCCAATTTCCAATATTTCACTTTAACCTGGACCTAAACCCTGGAATTGAACAATGGATTAAAGTTTTGTGCAAATCAGACTTTGTTTGTGCAAACAGGAGCAAAATTAATGTTGTCAAAAAGAGCCAAAAAAAACCTCACATTTTGCCGCTCCGCTGCTCAAGAAGGGAAAATTATTAAATAAATGAATTAGTATAAGAGAAGGAGTAAAAGGGAAGGGGAGAGTATAAAGAAGAAGGATATAAGATGAGGGAGTATAAATGAAGTATGTGAATGTTAGTTGATAGATAAGAGAGTAGTGGTTTATGTTGGGGATAGATTTAAGGGAGAAGTTTAATAGAGGTTTTTTTTTGGTAATGGTGAGTTGTGGTTATGTTATTGATTGATTTTTGGTATAGGGTTGTTGTTGTTTTTTGGGTATATTGATTAAGAGTAAATGTTTTTTGTTTTATTTGGGGAAGGTTTATTTATAGTTTTATGATTGTATAATAGGTATTGGTATGGATGTAGGGGGATGTTAGGGTGGTGAGGGGAGGAGAGATTGGTTGATTGTAGGAATTTGGTTGAGGGGTTAGTGGGGTGTTGGTTGGTGGTTGGTAGGAGGGAAAGTTGGGGTGTTGGAAGTATGGAGAATTAGGGGTTGATGTTGATTGGGGTTATGTTGGGGGTGGGGGATTGTATATATATGAGGGTAGGTAAATTTGTTATATTGTTTGTGAGTTGGTAATTTTATGATTTGATGAAGGGGGTGGGTTTAATGGAGGTGAGATGGGAATGATTATTGATTTTGTTGAGTAGAGGGGGGTTATGGGAGGTTGTTTGTTTTGTTTGTGGTTATGAGAGGGGATAGGGGGTTTTAGGGTGAGGTGAAAGGGGTAGAATTATTTATATTTAAAATATTTAGAAGATGTAAAGGGTTTTAAATTTTGGTTTTGGGGAGGGGGTAGTATATGTAGATGGGTTATGGAAGGGTAATTTGGAGGGATGGAATAAGAGTATAAGGAAATAGTATAATATAGAGGAGGGGAAAATTATAGTTAAAATAAGGAAAATTTAAAAAATATATTATTAGTGAGATATATTATAAGGAAAGTAGATAATAATGATGGTAGAGATGTTAATGATATAGATTAAAAAAGGGAAATTTTGTGTATGTTTTTTGGTGGTAGTGTGAAGAATAAATTTTTTGATAGTTTGTATTTTTGTTTATTTTAATGGATGTTTTATTTTTGAATGTATGATAGTAAGTAGGGGATTTTTTAATAGGGAGGGTGGGGGGGGTGAGATTTTTGTGGTGGGTGTGAATTGGAAGGAGGTGGGGATTAAATTGAGTTTAGTAGGTTTTAATAGATTTATTGTGGTTGTTTAGTTGGTAGTTTGTGTTGGGAAGGATGGTGTTAATTATAGATGGGGTTTTTATATAATTGTTGTAAGTGATATATTTTATGTGTTTAGTATTTAAGTATTAATATTGTTAAGTATGGTTAGTATTTTAAAGTATTTTTAGTATGTGTTAAGGATTTTAGTAATTTAATATTTAATATTTTTTTGTTAAGTATTTAGTATTTTGAGGGTATTTAGTTTTTAATATTTTAATATTGTTAAGTATTTTTAGTATTTTATGTATTTTATATTGTTAAGTATTTTAAGTATTTTAAGTATTTAAGTATTTTAAGGTATTTTAAGATTTTGATGTATTTTAAGTATTTTAAGTATTTTAGTATTTTAAGTATTTAAAGTTATGGTTAATATTTAAGTTCTTTAAGGTATTGATTAAGGTATTTTAGTATTTTAAGTCTGTTTAAGAATTTTAATTATTTTAATCTTTTAATATTTTGAAGTATTTTAAGTATTTTAAGTTTTATAGTATTTTAATTTTTAATATTTAAGTATTTTAAGTTATTTAAGTAATTAATTATGTATAATGTATATTTTAAATATGTTTAAGTATTTTAAGATTTTTAATTATTTTAAGTATTTTAATATTTTAATATTTTATATGGTTTAATTATGTTTAAGTATTTTAAGTATTGTTAAGTATGTTAATATTTTAAAATTTTAATTATGGTGTTAATATTTTAAGTATTTTAAGTATTTTAAGTATGTTTAAATATTTTAGTATTTTAAGTATTAAGTATTTTAAGTATTTTAGTATTTTAAGTAATGTGGTAAGTATTTTAGGTATTTTAGATAGTTTAAGAATTTAAGTATTTTTGAGTATTGTAAGTATTTTAGGTATTTAGAGTATTTTAAAGATTTTAAGTATTTTAAGTATTTTAATATTTTAAGTATTGGTTAAGTATTTTGATATGTTTAATAGTTTAAGTATTTTAAGGATTTTAAGTATTTTAAGTATTTAAGTTTTTATAGTTTTTTAGTATTTTAAGTATTTAATATTGTTAAGTATTGTTAATATTGGTTAAGTATTATTAATTATTTTATTATTTTAAGTATATAAGTAATTTATTATTGTTAATTATTTTAATATTTTAAGTATTTTAAAGTATTTTAAGTATTTTAAGTATTTTAAATATTTTAAGGTAGTTTTAATATGTTTAAGTATTTAAAGTATTTTAAGTATTTTAAGTATTTTAATATTAAGTATTTGTGTATTTTAAGTATTTTAAGTATTGTTAAGTATTTGAGTATTTAATATTTTTTAGTATGTTTAAGTGTTATTTTAATATTTTTAGTATTTTAAGTTTTTAAGTATTGTTAAAAAAAGTATTTTAAGTATTTTAAGTAATTGGTTAAGTGTTTTAATTAGTTTAAGTATGTTTAAGGTAATTTAATATGTGGTTAAGTGTTTAAGTTATTTTAAGTATTTTAAGGTATTTTAATATTTTTAAGTATTTTAAGATTTAAATATTTTAGTATGGTGTTAAGTATTGTAAATTATTTAAGTATTTTAAGTATTTTAAGTATTTTAAGGTAGTTTAAGTATTTAAGTATGGTTTAGTATGTGTAATATTTTAAGTATTTTAAGTATTTTAAGTATGTTTTAATTATTGTAATATTTTAAGTATTTTAAGTTTATGTGTAAGTATGTTAAGTATTGTTAATATTTTAAGTATTTTAAGTATTTTAGTATTTAAGTATTTTAATTATTTTAAGTATTTATGTATTTTAAGTATTTAATGTATTTTAAGTATTTAATATTTTAAGTTTTTAATTATTGTTAAGTATTTTCAGTATGTTAAATTAAGTATTTTAAGTATGTGTAATATTTAAGTATTTATTATTTTAAGTATTTAAGATTTAAGTAATTAAGTATTATAAGTATTTAAGATTTTAATTATTTTCAGTATTTTAATAGTTTAAGTATTGTAAGATTTTAAGGTATTTGTTAAGTATTTTAAGTATGGTTTAAGTTGGTTTAAGTATTTTATATATTGAATATGTGTAAGTATTTTTAATTATTTTTAATTTTTTTAGTATTTTAAGTATTGTTAAGTATTGTTAAGTATTTTAAGGTATTTTAGATTGTAAGTATTGTAAGTATTTTAAGTAATGGTGTTAATTATTTTAAGTATTTTAAGTATTTTAAGTAGTTTAATAATTTTAAGTATTTTAAGTATTTTAAGTATTTAATATTTTATGTATGTTTGAGTATTGTTAAGTATTTAAGTTTTAAGTATTGTTAATATTTAAGTATGTTAAGGTATGGTGGTTAAGTATTTTAAGTAGTTTAAGTATGTTAAGAATTTTAAGTATTTAAGATTTTAATATTTTAGTATGTTAGTATGTTTAATATTTTAAGTATTTAAGTAGTTTATTATTTAAGTTTTTAAGTATTTTAGTATGTTTAAGTATTTTAAGTATTTTATTTGATTGGGGGGGTGTGAAAAAGTGAGAAGTAAGGGGGGAGGAGGTTTGAAGATGGGAGGTTTGAATATAGTGAATATTTAGAGAGATAAAGAATTTATAAAAGAGTAGAGAAGAGTGTTAGAGAGTGGATGATATTAATGGATGGTGTTAAAATGAGTGATAAGGAGTATAATTGTGTAATATTAATTTGTGTTTGTATAGGGGGAGGGGAGTATGGGATTTTGATTGTAGATGGTTTATAGAAGATGGTTAAGATATGTTGGTTTAGAGTAGTTGAATTTAGTGGTTTAGGTATGGGGGGTGGTGAGGTGGAGGGGGTGGTAGGTTGTTGGGGAGGTATATGGGATTGGTAGGTGTGTTTTTTTTTTTATATTTATGGAAGGGGGGGGTTTGGTGGATTGAGAGTTAAAGGATAAAATGTTAGTAGATAGTTTTTATTAGAAGATTATATTATTATTTTTTTTGTTTAGAAGGGTATGAAATTTTGTAGATAGGGTTTTGGTTGAGAAGTTGGTATTATATTATTATTTATTTTGTGAGGGTGGGTGGGTGGATATGGGTGGATATGGTATTTTATAAGGGGTAGGTTTATTGTGGTATTTGTTTTTTGTAGGTTTATTTTTTTTTATATAGATTTGGTATTGTGGGTTGGTTGTTGGGTTGTTGGGTTGTTGTGGGGTTTTAGAATTTTGTGGAATTGGGAATAATTTGTAATATTTTTTATTTTTAAGGGGGAGGAGGGGGGGTTTGAGGAATATTAAAAGTGATATTTGAGAAAGTGGATTTGTTGAGATATAATTGATTGATGGATGATTGGATTGATTAGGTGGTTAGTAATTATGGATAGTTGGGTGGTTTTTTTAGTTTGGGTTTTTTTTTGTGGATGTATATTTATAGTTGAATATATTTTGATAGGGAGAGGATGGAGAGGTGGAGAAATGGAGAGTGAGAGGAATGAGAGGTGAGAATGGAGAGGTGGAGGAGAGGATGGAGAGGTGGGAAGGATAGGAGAGTGAAGGTGGAAAGATGGGATAGATGGAGAGGTGGGATGATGGGAAGTTGGGAGAGAGGGAGAGATGGAGAGTGGAAGGATGAGAGGTGGAGAGGAGGAGAGATTGGAAGGATTGAGAGGTGGAAGAAGATGGAGAGGATGGAGAGGTGGAGATGAGAGAGATTGGAGAGGTGGAAGAGGATGGAGGATGATAGTGAAGGGATGGAGGGGATGGAGAGTGAAGGATGAAGGATGGGAGAGGTTTGAGATGAGAGATGGAAGGTTGGAAGGAGGGGAGGTGGAGAGGATGGAGAGGATGGGAGAGGGTGGAGAGAATGAGAGGTAGAGGGGAGAGAGGATGGAGAGGTGGAGATATGGAGAGAGGGAGAGGTGAGAGGAGGGGAGAGGGGAAGGTGGAGAGATGGAGAGGTGGAAGGGGAGAGGGATGGAGAGTAGGAGAGGTGGAGAGGATGTAAGGGATGGGAGAGGTGGAAGGAAGATGAAGGATGGAGAGGAATGAGAGGTGGAAGTATGGAGAGGGATGGAGAGGTGGAGAGGAGGAAGGGATGGAGAGGTGGAGAGGATGAGAGGTGGAGAGGTGGAGAGGATGAGAGGATGAGATGAGAGGAATGGAGATGATGGAGAGGTGGTTGGATGGAGAGGGATGGAGAGTGAGAGGAGGGGGAGGTGGAGAGGATGGTAGGATGGAGAGGGTGGGAGAGGATGGAGAGGAGGAGAGGATGGGAGAGGATGGAAGTTGAAGATGGAGAGGTTGAGAGATGGAGAGGTGAGAGAATGGGAGAGGTGGAGAGGATGAGAGTGAGAGGATGGAGAGGATGGAGAGGTTAGAGGATGGGAGAGTGAGAGGATGGAGAGGATGGAGAGATGAGAGGTGGAGAGTGATGGAGAGATGGAAGGATGAGAGGTGGAGAGGATGGAGAGGATGGGAGAGGTGAGAGGAGGAGAGGTGGAAGGATGGAGAGTGGAGAGATTGAAGGTGGAAGGATGAAGTGAGAGGATAGGAGTGTTGAAGGATGGAGAGTGAGAGGATGAGAGGTGAGATGATGGAGAGGTGGAGAGGATGGAGAGGGAAATGAGAGTGGGAGAGGATGGAGAGGGATGGAAGGATGGAGAGAGAGAGGAGGAGTAGGTGAGAGGATGGAGAGTGAGAGAGGTGAGGTGGAGAGGATGAAGTGATAAGGATGGAAGGATGGTGAGCGGGTGGGAGAGGATGGGAGAGGTGGGAGAGGAGGAGAGGTGGAGAGGATGGAGAGGATGAATGGGGGAGAGGATTGGAGGGTGGAAGGATGGGGAGGATGGAGAGGATGGAAGGAAGGGAGAGAATGAAGGATGGGAGAATTGGAAGGTGGAGAGGATTGGAGGGGTGGAGAGGATGAGTGATGGAAGGTTGAGAGGATGAGAGATGAAGGTGGAGGAAGGGATGGAGAGGATGGAAGTGGAAGGATAGAGAGTGAGAGGATGAAGGTCCATCTGTATTTATATATATCTATATATATATCTATCTGTATCTATCTGTATCCATCTGTATCCATCTGTATCCATCTGTATCTATATATATCTATATATATCTATATATATCTATATATATCTATATATATCTATATATATCTATATATATCTATCTGTATCTATCTGTATCTATATATATCTATATATATCCATCTGTATCTATCTGTATCTATCTGTATCTATATATATCTATATATATCCATCTGTATCTATCTGTATCTATCTGTATCCATCTGTATCTATCTGTATATATCTGTATCTATATATATATCTATATATATATCTATCTGTATCTATATGTATCTATATATATCTATATATATCTATCTGTATCTATATGTATCTATATATATCTATATATATCTATATGTATCTATATATATCCATCTATCTATCTGTATCCATCTGTATCTATCTGTATCTATCTGTATCTATCTGTATCTATATATATCCATCTGTATCTATCTGTATCTATCTGTATCTATCTGTATCTATCTGTATCTATCTGTATATATCTGTATCTATCTGTATCTATATATATATATCTGTATATATCTGTATCTATCTGTATCTATATATATATATCTATCTGTATCTATCTGTATCTATATATATCTATCTGTATCTATCTGTATCTATCTGTATCTATCTGTATCTATCTGTATCTATATATATCTATCTGTATCTATCTGTATCTATCTGTATCTATCTGTATCTATCTGTATCTATCTGTATATATCTGTATCTATCTGTATCTATATATATATATCTGTATATATCTGTATCTATCTGTATCTATATATATATATCTATCTGTATCCATCTGTATCCATCTGTATCCATCTGTATCTATCTGTATCTATATATATATATCTGTATCTATCTGTATCTATCTGTATCTATCTGTATCTATCTGTATCTATCTGTATCTACCTGTATCTATATATATATATCTGTATATATCTGTATCTATCTGTATCTATATATATATATCTATCTGTATCTATCTGTATCCATCTGTATCCATCTGTATCCATCTGTATCTATCTGTATCCATCTGTATCTATCCGTATCTATCTGTATCTATCTGTATCTATCTGTATCCATCTGTATCTATCTGTATCTATCTGTATCTATCTGTATCCATCTGTATCCATCTGTATCCATCTGTATCCATCTGTATCTATCTGTATCCATCTGTATCTATCTGTATCTATCTGTATCTATCTGTATCTATATATATCCATCTGTATCTATCTGTATCTATCTGTATCTATCTGTATCTATATATATATATCTGTATATATCTGTATCTATCTGTATCTATATATATATATCTATCTGTATCCATCTGTATCCATCTGTATCCATCTGTATCTATCTGTATCTATATATATATATCTGTATCTATCTGTATCTATCTGTATCTATCTGTATCTATCTGTATCTATCTGTATCTATCTGTATCTATATATATATATCTGTATATATCTGTATCTATCTGTATCTATATATATATATCTATCTGTATCTATCTGTATCCATCTGTATCCATCTGTATCCATCTGTATCTATCTGTATCCATCTGTATCTATCCGTATCTATCTGTATCTATCTGTATCTATCTGTATCCATCTGTATCTATCTGTATCTATCTGTATCTATCTGTATCCATCTGTATCCATCTGTATCCATCTGTATCCATCTGTATCTATCTGTATCCATCTGTATCTATCTGTATCTATCTGTATCTATCTGTATCTATATATATCCATCTGTATCTTATCTGTATCTATCTGTATCTATCTGTATCTATATATATCTATCTGTATCTATCTGTATCTATATATATCTATCTGTATCTATCTGTATCTATCTGTATCTATCTGTATCTATCTGTATCTATATATATCTATCTGTATCTATCTGTATCTATCTGTATCTATCTGTATCTATCTGTATCTATCTGTATATATCTGTATCTATCTGTATCTATATATATATATCTGTATCTATCTGTATCTATATATATATATCTATCTGTATCCATCTGTATCCATCTGTATCCATCTGTATCTATCTGTATCTATCTGTATCTATCTGTATCTATCTGTATCTATCTGTATCTATCTGTATCTATCTGTATCTATCTGTATATATATCTGTATATATCTGTATATATCTGTATCTATCTGTATCTATATATATATATCTATCTGTATCTATCTGTATCCATCTGTATCCATCTGTATCCATCTGTATCCATCTGTATCTATCTGTATCCATCTGTATCCATCTGTATCCATCTGTATCCATCTGTATCTATCTGTATCTATCTGTATCCATCTGTATCCATCTGTATCCATCTGTATCTATCTGTATCTATCTGTATCTATCTGTATCTATCTGTATCTATCTGTATCTATCTGTATCTATCTGTATCTATCTGTATCTATCTGTATCTATCTGTATCTATCTGTATCTATCTGTATCTATCTGTATCTATCTGTATCTATCTGTATCTGTATCTATCTGTATCTATCTGTATCTATCTGTATCTATCTGTATCTATCTATATCTATCTGTATCTATCTGTATCTATCTGTATCTATCTGTATCTATCTATATCTATCTATATCTATCTGTATCTATCTCCAAACTACATGATGTGTTTTCCTTCCATCCAGAGCACACAGACTCGAGTGTGCTTCAGCGGCTGAGACCAAGGCCCCGTCCCAATTCTCACCCTTGCCCTTAAAAAGCACACTTGCCCTAGAGTTTGCGCGTGCCCGCGGGAGTGCAAGGGTGTCCCAATACTTAGGGAGAAGAGGCGAGGGCCTTCACAGTCCTAAAAACCACCCTTGAGCCCAAGTCAGGTCCATGATGCATTAGGATAGCTGTTGGTAAAGCAGCTATCGGGCACAGCCGCGCCACAATGAAAGAAAACAACATGAAACACTGCGCAAAAGTTTGTGCGGAACGGGAGGAAGCTCCAAAGCGTGTGCGAGTCTTTCAGAATTTGTAATGCTTGTGTTGGTGCCGTGTGTTGGTGCCGTGTGCGGTGACGTTCGCTCCTGAAGCGGCCGCAGCGAGTGGCGTGAGGCTTCAGAGACGTGGATCCATTATTATAGATCCATTATTATAGATCCAAGTAATTATTATAGATCCATTATCATAGATCCATGTTATTATAGATCCATTATTATAGATCCATTATTATAGATCCAAGTAATTATTATAGATCCATTATTATAGATCCATTATCATAGATCCATGATGTAGTGCAGAGCTTTGCTTTGACAGTTTGCTTTGTGATCCGCGGGACCGCGGCTGTACCCGTCTGTATGTGTGTGTACATGTGTCTGTCTGTGTGTGTGTATGTGTGTGTACATGTGTCTGTCTGTGTGTCTGTCTCTGTGTGTGTATGTGTGTGTACATGTGTCTGTCTGTCTGTCTCTGTGTGTGTATGTGTGTGTACATGTGTCTGTCTGTGTGTCTCTGTGTGTGTATGTATGTGTACATGTGTCTGTCTGTCTGTCTCTGTGTGCGTATGTGTGTGTACATGTGTCTGTCTGTGTGTCTCTGTGTGTGTATGTGTGTGTACATGTGTCTGTCTGTGTGTCTGTCTCTGTGTGCGTATGTGTGTGTACATGTGTCTGTCTGTGTGTCTGTCTCTGTGTGCGTATGTGTGTGTACATGTGTCTGTCTGTGTGTGTGTCTCTGTGTGCGTATGTGTGTGTACATGTGTCTGTCTGTGTGTCTCTGTGTGTGTATGTATGTGTACATGTGTCTGTCTGTCTGTCTCTGTGTGCGTATGTGTGTGTACATGTGTCTGTCTGTGTGTGTGTGTGTATGTGTGTGTACATGTGTCTGTCTGTCTGTGTGTGTGTATGTGTGTGTACATGTGTCTGTCTGTGTGTCTGTCTCTGTGTGCGTATGTGTGTGTACATGTGTCTGTCTGTGTGTCTCTGTGTGTGTATGTGTGTGTACATATGTCTGTCTGTGTGTCTCTGTGTGTGTAGTATGTATGTGTACATGTGTCTGTCTGTGTGTCTCTGTGTGCGTATGTGTGTGTACATGTGTCTGTCTGTGTGTCTCTGTGTGTGTATGTGTGTGTACATGTGTCTGTGTGTCTCTGTGTGCGTATGTGTGTGTACATGTGTCTGTCTGTGTGTCTCTGTGTGTGTATGTATGTGTACATATGTCTGTCTGTGTGCGTATGTGTGTGTACATGTGTCTGTGTGTCTCTGTGTGTGTATGTGTGTGTACATGTGTCTGTGTGTCTCTGTGTGTGTATGTATGTGTACATATGTCTGTCTGTGTGTCTCTGTGTGCGTATGTGTGTGTACATGTGTCTGTGTGTCTCTGTGTGTGTATGTATGTGTACATATGTCTGTCTGTGTGTCTCTGTGTGTGTATGTGTGTGTACATGTGTCTGTGTGTCTCTGTGTGTGTATGTGTGTGTACATGTGTCTGTGTGTCTCTGTGTGCGTATGTGTGTGTACATGTGTCTGTCTGTGTGTCTGTCTCTGTGTGTGTATGTGTGTGTACATGTGTCTGTCTATGTGTCTGTCTCTGTGTGTGTATGTGTGTGTACATGTGTCTGTCTGTGTGTCTGTCTCTGTGTGTGTATGTGTGTGTACATGTGTCTGTCTGTGTGTCTCTCTCTGTGTGTGTATGTGTGTGTGCATGTGTCTGTCTCTGTGTGTGTATGTGTGTGTACATATGTCTGTCTGTGTGTCTCTGTGTGCGTATGTGTGTGTACATGTGTCTGTCTGTCTGTCTCTGTGTGTGTATGTGTGTGTACATGTGTCTGTCTGTGTGTCTGTCTCTGTGTGTGTATGTGTGTGTACATGTGTCTGTCTGTGTGTCTGTCTCTGTGTGTGTATGTGTGTGTACATGTGTCTGTCTGTGTGTCTGTCTCTGTGTGTGTACATGTGTCTGTCTGTGTGTCTGTCTCTGTGTGTGTATGTGTGTGTACATGTGTCTGTCTGTGTGTCTCTCTCTGTGTGTGTATGTGTGTGTGCATGTGTCTGTCTCTGTGTGTGTATGTGTGTGTACATATGTCTGTCTGTGTGTCTCTGTGTGCGTATGTGTGTGTACATGTGTCTGTCTGTCTGTCTCTGTGTGTGTATGTGTGTGTACATGTGTCTGTCTGTGTGTCTGTCTCTGTGTGTGTATGTGTGTGTACATGTGTCTGTCTGTGTGTCTGTCTCTGTGTGTGTATGTGTGTGTACATGTGTCTGTCTGTGTGTCTGTCTCTGTGTGTGTACATGTGTCTGTCTGTGTGTCTGTCTCTGTGTGTGTATGTGTGTGTACATGTGTCTGTCTGTGTGTCTCTCTCTGTGTGTGTATGTGTGTGTGCATGTGTCTGTCTCTGTGTGTGTATGTGTGTGTACATGTGTCTGTCTGTGTGTGTGTATGTGTGTGTACATGTGTCTGTCTGTCTGTGTGTGTATGTGTGTGTACATGTGTCTGTCTGTGTGTGTGTATGTGTGTGTACATGTGTCTGTGTGTGTATGTGTGTGTACATGTGTCTGTCTGTGTGTCTGTCTCTGTGTGTGTATGTGTGTGTACATGTGTCTGTCTGTGTGTCTGTCTGTCTGTGTGTGTATGTGTGTGTACATGTGTCTGTCTGTGTGTGTACATGTGTCTGTCTGTGTGTGTGTATGTACATGTGTCTGTCTGTGTGTCTGTCTCTGTGTGTGTATGTATGTGTACATGTGTCTGTCTGTCTGTCTCTGTGTGTCTGTCTGTGTGTCTGTCTCTGTGTGTGTATGTATGTGTACATGTGTCTGTCTGTCTGTCTCTGTGTGTCTGTCTGTGTGTCTGTCTCTGTGTGTGTATGTATGTGTACATGTGTCTGTCTGTCTCTGTGTGTATGTGTGTGTAGATGTGTCTGTGTGTGTGTCTGTCTCTGTGTGTGTATGTGTGTGTACACATACACACCTAAGGGCACTCACACCTAAGGGCACTCACACCTAAGGGCACTCACACCTAAGGGCACTCACACCTAAGGGCAAGGGTGAGAATTGGGACGGGGCCCAAATAACCTGGATATCACCAAAGAAACTGGCAACCCAAACAAAAGCCTCATTCTGCCTTGTCCTTGTACCATTCTAATGTTTCTTCTCTTGTTTTGTTAAGCACTTTGAGTCACCATACAAACAATGTGGCCATGTCCAGGTTCTGCAGGTCTGTCCTTCCTGCTGCTGTCAGACTGTACAACGAGAACTGCTGAGTCTGTACATGTTATTCATCTTTAAGTAAGTAATAATTACAATCCTGTTTTATACTCATTACCCGAACCCCATATGTACAGTATATAACTTTGCACTAATATATATATGTAGATGTGAGCTTTGGCCTTTGGATCTGAAGGTTGTGGGTTCTATTCCAGCACAAGACCTTCTCCGACTCCCTCTGATGTCTGCTGTCGTTGTGTCCTTGGGCAAGACACCTAACCACACTTTGCCTGAAGATGGATGGATAGTTTGTATATGTTGTGTGCTCCCTGTGTGTCTCACTACTGTCCTGTCTGTGCGCTGCAACAGTGAAATTTCCCCACTGTGGCACCAATAAAGAAACTTGTCTAATTTCACAATCTAAATAAATGAGCAAAGTTTTTTTGTATAACGCTTTTCACAGACCAGGATCAAAAAGCACAATCTATGAACCATTTACAAGTGTTTTATAAAAGAACACATATTTTCTTTATGGTACAACCGTTGCAAACTAAAACCTAACATCCATTTTATTTATTTTATTTCTTACCAAAACAGGCGATATTCCCGTCGAGGCCGATGTACTTGAGGTCCCACTTGGCGGCGTGCGTCTCGGTGGGGTCGCTCTCACTCATGTCGTCCATCGCAAACACCGCCTTCTGACGGAACTCTGCGTTATCGTCAAAGTTGATTTTGGCATCGAAGCAAACCACTAGAGCAGAGGATGAGAGGATGAGGGGATGAGGAAGAGAGGATGAGGGGATGAGGATGAGAGGATGAGGGGATGAGGAAGAGAGGATGAGGGGATGAGGATGAGAGGATGAGGGGATGAGGAAGAGAGGATGAGGGGATGAGGATGAGAGGATGAGGGGATGAGGAAGAGAGGATGAGAGGATGAGGATGAGAGGATGAGGGGATGAGGAAGAGAGGATGAGGGGATGAGGATGAGAGGATGAGGGGATGAGGATGAGAGGATGAGGGGATGAGGATGAGGGGATGAGGATGAGAGGATGAGAGGATGAGGGGATGAGGATGAGGATGAGAGGATGAGGGGAAGCAGGGGATGAGGATGAGAGGATGAGGGGATGAGAGGATGAGGGGATGAGGATGAGAGGATGAGGGGATGAGGAAGAGAGGATGAGGGGATGAGGATGAGAGGATGAGGGGATGAGGATGAGAGGATGAGGGGATGAGGATGAGGGGATGAGGATGAGAGGATGAGAGGATGAGGGGATGAGGATGAGGATGAGAGGATGAGGGGAAGCAGGGGATGAGGATGAGAGGATGAGGGGATGAGAGGATGAGGGGATGAGGATGAGGATGAGAGGATGAGGATGAGAGGATGAGGGGATGAGGGGATGAGAGGATGAGAGGATGAGGATGAGGCGATGAGGCGATGAGAGGATGAGGGGATGAGAGGATGAGGATGAGGCGATGAGAGGATGAGGGGATGAGAGGATGAGGGGATGAGGATGAGAGGATGAGAGGATGAGGGGATGAGGATGAGAGGATGAGGGGATGAGAGGATGAGAGGATGAGGGGATGAGGGGATGAGAGGATGAGGGGATGAGAGGATGAGGATGAGGATGAGAGGATGAGGGGATGAGAGGATGAGGATGAGGGGATGAAAGGATAAGTATGAGAGGATGAGGATGAGAGGATGAGGGGATGAGAGGGTGAGAGGGTGAGGGGATGAGAGGATGAGGATGAGGGGATGAGGATGAGAGGATGAGGATGAGGGGATGAGGATGAGGGGATGACGGGATGAGAGAGGATGAGGGGATGAGAGGATGAGGATGAGAGGATGACGGGATGAGAGGATGAGGATGAGGGGGTGAGGATGAGGGGATGAGAGGATGAGGGGATGAGGATGAGAGGATGAGGATGAGAGGATGACGGGATGAGAGGATGAGGATGAGGAAGAGAGGATGAGGGGATGAGAGGATGAGGATGAGAGGATGAGGAAGAGAGGATGAGGGGATGAGAGGATGAGAGGATGAGGATGAGGGGATGAGGATGAGGGGATGAGAGGATGAGGATGAGGATGAGAGGATGAGAGGATGAGGAAGAGAGGATGAGGGGATGAGAGGATGAGGATGAGAGGATGAGGAAGAGAGGATGAGGGGATGAGAGGATGAGGATGAGAGGATGAGGAAGAGAGAGATGATGAGGGGATGAGAGGATGAGGATGAGAGGAGATGTCCTCTCTCCTCCTCTCTGTCCTCTTTCCTCCTTAGAATTTACTGACAATAGATAATAATAATAATAAATAATAATTACTTAAAGGAGCAGTGTGTAAAAATGTGGCCAAAAGTGGTACTGCAGCCTCTCCCACTCTCCCTGACTCAGGTTGCCAGATATGCAGACGAATCCAGCTGGGACCATAACAGCTGAATAGACAAGAGTTTTGTCAACAACAAATCTATAACCAACACCTTTTTCACAAAGATAGAAATCCTGGTTTTATTCCTTGTTTTGTCGTTAATGATTTGAGAATCATAACGAAACCTTTTTTAGTTCTGCGCCACATGGTACTTTACCAGTGAGATTAGCTCCACATGGTATTTTACCAGTGAGATTAGCTCCACGCGGTGAGTTCTGGCGCCCGGATCACAGACTTTCTGATTGGTGAAACGGTGGAGGGCGGGACATCGAAATGAAAACAATAACAAGATTTAGAAGCTGGAAAAGTAATTTAGAAATTCAAATATCTCTGAACTACTGTTATCAGTTACAGAAGGATTGGAAAAGAGCAGATTATTATTATGACAGATTAGGGCCCTTTAATGACGACAGATTAGAGCCCTTTAATGATGACAGATTATGGCCCTTTGGTGCAGACTGGTGCAGACTGGTACAGACCTGTGCAGACACGTGCAGATCGGTTGCAGTCCGGTGTAGACCCTGTAGATTGGTGCAGACTAATACAGACCGGTACAGACCGGTGCAGACCGTGTCCTCTGCATCAGTGGAGGGAGGTCAGATGAACAGAGTCTGTCTTTGGCCTCTTTCCTCTCATCAGTCACAGCTCCATGTGCTGCAGCTCATTAGCATCAGCTCACATCTGCGCCAGGCTGCAGCTGAAGGAGGACCAGACCGGGACCAGACCGGAGCCAGACTGGCACCAGACCGGGACCAGACCGGAGCCAGACTGGCACCAGTCCGGGACCAGACCGGAGCCAGACTGGCACCAGACCGGGACCAGACCGGGACCAGACCGGAGCCAGACTGGCACCAGACCGGGACCAGATCGGGACCAGACCGGGCCAGACTGGGACCAGACAGCACCAGACAGCACCAGACCGGCAGCTAGTCTGAGGACGTCTGGAGCAAAAGGCTGGAGACGGCTGAGAGAGGCCAATGTTGCAAATATGCAACATCCCAGAATGCCCTATTGTATATTATTACTCCATATAATTTGTCCCAAATATCAGATTTTTCTTATAATAAGATTAACTTAACCCCTGCTACTTTGTGTAAATGTGTGCTGCAGTGTAATGTGTGTAAATGTGTGCTGCAGTGTAATGTGTGTAAATGTGTGCTGCAGTGTAATGTGTGTAAATGTGTGCTGCAGTGTAATGTGTGTAAATGTGTGCTGCAGTGTAATGTGTGTAAATGTGTGCTGCAGTGTAATGTGTGTAAATGTGTGCTGCAGTGTAATGTGTGTAAATGTGTGCTGCAGTGTAATGTGTGTGACGGTGGAGATGCAGAGGGCATTCTCTTCAAACACTCTTTTCAAAGTGCAGACATTTTCAAACAGAGACAGCGCTGAGGGCACCGGGTTTGAACTCTGTTTGTGCCCGAGCTCCCGCACTCAGAGAAGAGACCCAAAGAAAGGAATTCCTCAAGTGCTCTGCTTCGAAGAGAGGAGAATATCGTCTGAAATAAAACCAAGAGACGAGAGGTGGACACAGACACAGGAGGACACTGGCCCGAGGCTCCGCTGCGTTCTCCGACTCTGAACGCCATTTTCTCTGGGACAGAAACACCCTTCGCCGAGTCCTGATGTAGTTAGTGTGAGGTTCATATTGTTCCCAACAGCCCACACACACACACACACACACACACACACACACACACACACACACACACACACACACACACACACACACACACACACACACACACACACACACACACACACACACACACACACACACACACACACTCCATCAGCGCTCGACCCCAGCACTATGCACATAACCACATATTAATTATAGATGTGCTTTAAATTACTCTCATTACCTTCCCCACGCCGGTGATGGACAAAGAAGGAAAGACGGATGGGAAAGGTTTTGCTTTTTACCCTCCAGTAAAATTCGTCTCCAGTCGCACTTTTTCACTTTTGATTTATTTTGTGACATTGTTAACTTTAAAGGTCCCATAGTGCGTTCGTTTTCCATGCTGTAAACGTCCAGTGCGGTTTGGGCTCATACACATCAATTCCCTCAAGCGCTGGTTAAAGAGCGATCTTTCTCCTTCGGTCTCGAGAAGCAGCAAAACGCCTCGGTTCAATTTGAAGACACGGGATTGAGCTGGAGCCTCCACCTCTGGGTAAGAAATGGATTTGATTTCAGGAGTTTTGAGTGTTGTATGTGTGGCACGTCCAGGCGGTTACACAAAGAATATCAGGACAGTTAAAAAGAAAGAAAAGGACCAACAACGGCAGTGCAAAGATTATTAACACGCAAAGGTTTGTTAATCATGACAGAGGCAGAGGCCGTTTGAAGTCACACTATATTATAAAAAGAAAGATAAAAATATAAAATCCCTCAGTTGTCGCGGTGAACTGTTCTTAACCTGGTTTTAAACATTGTCAGAGAGGCCTGTCTCACATCTTCAGGAAGACTGTTCCAGATTTTAGCAGCATGAATCTGAAAAGCAGCCTCCCCATGTTTAGTTCTGACTCTGGGACCAGCAGCAGTCCAGTCCCTGTGCTCCTCAGAGTCCCAGCAGGAGTCCAGTCCCTGTGCTCCTCAGAGTCCCAGCAGGAGGCCAGTCCCTGTGCTCCTCAGAGTCCCAGCAGGAGACCAGTCCCTGTGCTCCTCAGAGTCCCAGCAGGAGGCCAGTCCCTGTGCTCCTCAGAGTCCCAGCAGGAGGCCAGTCCCTGTGCTCCTCAGAGTCCCAGCAGGAGGCCAGTCCCTGTGCTCCTCAGAGTCCCAGCAGGAGTCCAGTCCCTGTGCTCCTCAGAGTCCCAGCAGGAGGCCAGTCCCTGTGCTCCTCAGAGTCCCAGCAGGAGGCCAGTCCCTGTGCTCCTCAGAGTCCCAGCAGGAGGCCAGTCCCTGTGCTCCTCAGAGTCCCAGCAGGAGGCCAGTCCCTGTGCTCCTCAGAGTCCCAGCAGGAGGCCAGTCCCTGTGCTCCTCAGAGTCCCAGCAGGAGGCCAGTCCCTGTGCTCCTCAGAGTCCCAGCAGGAGTCCAGTCCCTGTGCTCCTCAGAGTCCCAGCAGGAGGTCAGTCCCTGTGCTCCTCAGAGTCCCAGCAGGAGGCCAGTCCCTGTGCTCCTCAGAGTCCCAGCAGGAGGCAAGTCCCTGTGCTCCATGGCCTCACCCCCTGGAGCAGCAGGAGTGGAGCGCGACCAATCACTGCGGACGGAACACGTGACTCTGGACTTTCTTTGTCTCCTGTGTGTGCGCCCTCTACTGGACACAGTTCTGTTGTTTTTATCCACTTAGTTTTAAACATTGAGCTTTAACCCTCCACAGTCGACTTAAAACAGTTTTAATTCTGACATTTAGTTTCTTTCTTTTACCTTTTGTTGTATAATGTTTGTAAATGTGTGACTTTGTAAAGAACTTAGGGTTGCTTCAGGAACTGTGCGTTATAAATAAACTAGATTAATTGATTAAATGTTTCTTACAACAATGGGGTTTGCAGAATAATAGGAAACTGCTTTTAAATGTGGTCCTGTTGGGTCAAAAATATCTCTTGTGATTTTTAATGCATTTCTTTATTTGAACGGGACATTTTGCTTTCACAAAAAACTATAAATACATCAGATTTTACATCACGTCCCATGGGTCGGGGAACACAGGACCCCATTAAGGAAGTTTTTATCAAGCTTTGGAATCTGCATCTTAACAATGACAGTAAACAAGCCATTTCCAAAATGTGATCGTCCATCGAGAAAGATAAGAACCAGAGAGAAAATGAAATATCGTTTACACTTTACAGAAAACCATGAATGTAAAATAGACCATTATGGATCATGAACAAATATATCAGAAGCCGTGGACGACAAACACGACCGATGAATTATTGAAATACAAAACTTTGCCCTTAGGACCATAAACCGGGATGTGGGGGACGCTTTACTCTCACACACCTGGGATTCTGTCCTGAGGAAGTCGGACAGCAGATGGCGCTGTTGTTCTGTCTCTGGTTGGAAGAGAAAACGGGAAAACATCTGGACAAACACAAAAACACTGAAGAAGACTGTGCAAGTTCACAGTGTCATCCATCCAACTCCAGCTCTGTTCTAGATCATTATAAAGCTCAGAACAGGCCGATGTCAGGACAGTCTTTCTGGTCTGGACTGGTCTGGACTGGTCTGGTTAAACTAAAGTGGCCTCTGACTCTTTAAAGCACGCCTTACGTAAGTTCTGTCTGACAGCGTTATCCCCGACAGCAGTGAGAGCAGAAAGTTTATTTTCTTTCTTTTCCCATTTCTAATCTGTGGCTCTCTGAAACATGCAGGTCCATTTTTACTGTGTGGAAAATGGTGGCGTCTCTTTGATCTTTTATCTGTGCTAATTTACATAATTTACATAATTTAGCACATGTTACACGCCCTGTTTTGTTATGTCTTTGTGATGTTGTGTGTCTGTTGTATGTAATATCTCTCTTCATCTCAACCTGTGGGCGACAGTGGCTCAGTTGGTAGAGCATTGGCCTTTGAGCCTGAAGGTCGTGGGTTTGAGTCCACCACAAGACCTACTTCATGACTTCCACTGCTGCCGTTGTGTTCTTGGGCAAGACACTTATCCCCACTTTACCTGAAGCCCCCACTGTGAAGATCTCAGCTCCTGCAGAGGATCAGTGAGAGGCTGGTGCTCTGACTGCCACCCCCCTGACCTAGAAATGGATTCAGGGGAAGAAGATGGATGGATGCTACCAACCTGCCATGGGACTACAGATGAGACTGCCGATGAAAACTAGCCTACATGCTAACTCATTTACATGTTTAACACACAGATTAATGTGCACTGTCCCAATTCAAATAAAGATAAAAAAAGAAGTGTAAAAGGTGAGAAATGTTGCACTTCTAACTATTAATCTTTGTTTTCATACGACTCTACCTTTTGACTTCCTGCTTAATCACCCATCCACCGTAATGATCCTCCCGAGAGCCCAAAGCTGCTCGAGCATGGAGCACAGAGGACACGGAGCAGGGATGCGACCCCACAGGTTCCCAGAAATATTAGCATGATGAACAGTCCGAGGTCTGGGGCTTCTCTGGGGGAAATATCCACCTTGTCCCGTCCATGCGGCGCCGTGGCGAGGGCATTTTCACCGGATGTGGGACTTATGCAGTGGTCATTCTGAGAGGACCCCATGCGGCTTTCGAGCTGCAGACCGGAACATCCAGGTCCAGTCCATTAGCTGCTCGTGCTCAGGGTGAAAACTAAAACTAAACAGTTCAGCAGTTGTTCCAGTTTGTCATTTTTCTGTCATTAAGGATTTTATATTTACTCTTTTATGGTTTTAACTACTCGTGGGGGTTTGGATTGGATTACACGTCATTGTCATTACAAAGGCAGAACAATGCAGCCAAATGCAGTCTAGCGTCTAACCCAGGGGTGTCCAAACTTTTTAGTAACAGGGCCACTTTAGTTCATCGGGCGCAGACACGGAGAGTTCTCTGCTCTGATGGACATTTACAAGTTAAAGTCTAAGTCTTCAAATTAAAAAACATGGTGGAGGTAAATAATGTTTTAAAAGGTCACATTTGTTATTAGTTAAAGATGCAGTAAGCGATTTAGTTAGCTTAGCCGTAGCCCCCCTCCACTGCCTTCCCCTCCCTCTCCACCAAACCACACTCCCCCCTCCCCTCCCTCTCCACCAAACCACTCCCCCCTCCCCTCCCTCTCCACCAAACCACTCTCCCCTCCCCTCCCTCCCTCTCCACCAAACCACTCCCCCCTCCCCCTCCCTCTCCACCAAACCACTCCCCCCTCCCCTCCCTCTCCACCAAACCACTCCCCCCTCCCCTCCCTCTCCACCAAACCACTCCCCCCTCCCCTCCCTCTCCACCAAACCACTCCCCCCTCCCCTCCCTCTCCACCAAACCACTCCCCCCTCCACCAAACCACCCCCCCCCTCCTCCCACCAAACCACTCCCCCCTCCCCCTCCCTCTCCAACAAACCACTCCCTCTCCACCAAACCACCCCCCCCTCCTCCACCAAACCACTCCCCCCCCCTCCCCTCCCTCTTCCACCAAACCAAACATCCAGCATTTTCTTTTCTTTGTCACAGGGAGAGTGAAGCAAACGTGAAATTGGCATTTTCTGTTCAGCCATTTTAGGTTTTTAGAAAATCCGATAACTCCGGTGCACTCAGAGAGACAGTGTGGCTTTAATATATGTGTAGATTGTAATGTTTGTGATGTTTGTTTTTTACCGTGTAAGGAACAGGAAGTCACAGATCAGGAAGATGCTTTGGCTCTCGGTGCCAACAAAAGTAAAGACAAAAGAGTGGGAAAGGTTTGATTGTTTTTAGTTTGACAAAAAAATATGTTTTTCAAGTCTAGAAAGTCCTTTTACAAATGACAGAATGTCGATATTTGAAGCAGAGGATGCATAAATGTAACATATGACAAACAGTAATTGACCGTCGAAACACTTCAGCCTCAGCAGGAGAAAACAGGTCAAGTACAGTTTTTCTGTAGTATCTAACCTTCCATGAACTAAGGACGCCGTTGTGCAAATCAAATAAGAATATGAATAAAAATACATTATGTACAGATGGAAACAAACACTGACTTGAAGCTCATTTAAAAACAGGTGCAGACAAAAACAATACACAAAACAAATGGACAATACTTACTCTTTTCCAAAAACTATGATCTAAACTACCCTGGTCTTATCGCACCATGGTACTCATTTCATTTCATACTAAGGTCTGGATTTGCTCCATTGACTCCGTTAACAGGTGGGAGGGGCTAACTCCTTTTGCAGATTGAAACCATTGGATCTGAGTTTACTGTGACGTATATGAGCCCGAGTGAGTGAGGCATTTAGCCTAGTTTTAGCATTTAGCCTAGCTTTAGCATTTAGCATAGCATTTAGAGCCACAACATCTTTGCTTCAATGACATTTACTAAACATTCCTCTTGCTCCGGCTTCAGTTTCTTGATATTTGGACTGGGTTCAGGTCCGGCCCTTACACAGCCTGGTGCGGGTCTACAGCAATAGTCATGAACAGAACTCAGTGAAGGAGAGAGGGTGTCCAAACATTTGGTCCTGTACTCTACATGTAGAAAAGGATCATGGACCAGAGTTTATGGATGAGGGTTAGTGCGACTCTCCGGTCATTCATCATGTCCTGCTGTAACGTCTGGGTCTGGTCCCTGTGTTTGAGATTACAATCGGTTGAATTTTGAGCGACCAATCAGAGAGCGCGGGAGGCGGGTGTTGTAGTTAGATGTGGGTGACGTCAAGAGTTTGCGTCGAACGGGAAGGTCGTAGTTTGGTGAAGAATGTGATAGTAAAGTATTCTGGTCTGGTTCTATCAAGAAACTGAATCCGGAGCAAGAGGAATGTTTAGCAAATGTAATCTCTGCAAAGATTGTGGCGCTACTCCCCACGGGCTCCGTTAGCGGCAAAGGAGATGGCTAAAGCTAGGCTAAATGCTAACTACTCACTCGGGCTCATTACATACGTCACGGTAAACTCAGATCCAATGGTTTCAATCTGCAAAAGGAGTTAGCCCCTCCCACCTGTTAACGAGTCTTAGTATGAAATGAAATTTGTACTATGGTGTGGTACAACCAGGCTAGATGTAAACAGCTCTGAAGGCCTTTTTGTTTGTTTCATTTAAGTCTTTAACATATCATATAGAACTAAGACCTGACATAATGGAACAAATACATCACTGTGGACTTTTCTGAACATTGGAATGATGTTTTCTCACAGACAGCGTCACATCTAACATCTGTAAACTTATATCAACGAAACATAAACAGTGTCTACATACTTTTAAATAAGTAAAACCAGGAAAATGAATGTGTAAAAAGAAAAGCACAGTTTAAACATTTGCAGCTCGACTCGGTGACGCTGGAGTCTGGCTCGGGTCGGTCTCAAGCCCCGTTTCTGCCTCTGAGACCGGTTCTTGTCCCTGATCCACGGAGTTCTGGCCTTTGGCCGGTTTCAGGTCCGTGCGCAGGGTTCTCAGCGTGTGGTACCGGTACGTGTTCATTATGAAGAGAAACACTCCTCCCGCTACAATGACTCCTCCACACATCAAGAAAAGATATTTGTAATCTCCGTAGACGTCCACCAGTAATCCTGAGACAGAAGAGAAGCGTTATTTATTTATGTCCTACTCAAAAGGTTCTGCTTTAGTTTGTGTCCATTTTAAAGGATCCATATCAGAGGCAGAGCTGTGTTCTGCTGTTGATTTGTTTTCCATATAAGATAAATAAAATCTAATGCAAGTGGCCAAGTTTGTGGAAACCAGACCAAATCTAACCCCATGAGAAAAACTAAAACACACTTTAAACATGCCATAAGCACAATACATAATCTATAATAATACATATATTCAACATGAAAGTTAGAAAACATGAGATTTATAACACTACATTTAAAAACATGGTAAATTCTAATCCGTCCTTCTGCACAATAGTAACACTCACAAACATTTCAGTCCAGAGTCCAGTTTCAGAAGAACCATGTGAACCATGTGAACCATGTGGGGAATGAGAGAGGAATGGTACAGCCCCTCATGACTCGGCCCGAGTCTGGATGGAAGCCATTTGGATTCTTCCAACTTAAACCAATCAGAGGAGGCCAATTCTTAAAAGAGCCACAGCAGAAGTCTCCCTCAAAATCCATAGCTAATTATGACTAAAGACTTTTTTTCTATTTGAACTCAGACCAAATATTTTAGACCTTTACAACCCTAAAAATGTCTCGTCTTACTATGATTAAAGTCTGCAGACCCATGTTTGGAAACTCTAGGATAAGTTTAATGAGTGCATCCTCTCCCTCAAGTATTAATGTGTCAGGAATAGTTTAAAATATGCACTTTACAGACAATCATAAAGAAACAGCACTCTGGGTTATGCCTAATTATGGGGATTGGTTTAGTAAGTTAATCATTTATTCTTTCATCTACAACAACACAAACAGCAAGAATAGTTTTGTCAATATTAAAACTAACACCTGAAGTTTGGGCTGCTCGGGATTGCTGTATACGAAAGGCCTGTTCCAGTTCCTGCCAATACTCAGCAACATTCCACCGTCACTGAACAGAGTGAGCCAACATTCCACAGGCTTCAATCAACAACAACACGACGTGAAGCTTTAGTGTTGACGAGATTCCTGCTCAATGACTCAATCCTCTTCTCAAACATCTTTCTATTCAATTCAATTATTTCTGTCTAAATTCACAACAGCAGTCACCCGAGGACTCTACAAAGTTGTCGATTCCGCGATAACAGACCAGAGAAACGGCTTCCAGTGTAAACGCTGAGGTCACTTGGCAGACTGGACGCCCGTTTGATTGATAGGTCTCTTGTTATTGTCCCTCATTAAGCTCGGAGTCGATAATTACGTCCATCTGGCAAAGATGAGACTATTTTAATGTATCCAGGTTTAATTATGGCCGAGCTACAGGCCTTTGATGATGCAGGTTTGAACTAGGCATCATTAAACAGTAGCACCCAAAGCTAAAGGCTAATTACTCTCGCTTGCCTCGCTTCACTCTAATTGGATTGACCTAAAGTTTAGGAGCAGCAACAACAGTTCTTCAGGAGAGCGGCCTTTTTAATAAGAGTCTCTGAATAAGATTGTGCTGCTGACATAACAAAGCAAAGCGACGTCAGCACTAGCTTCGCACAAACACATGAGTGCAAGACAATAATAATAATAATGCATGGGTTTTATAAAACACTTTTCTGGACTCTCAAAGTCTCTTCACAACATTATCCTCTCTCTCCAAACACGGTGGTGATAAACTACTGTAGCCACAGCTGCCCTGGGGCACACTGACAGAAGCGCCTCCCACCCCCACCAACCACTCACACACACACCAGACTCATTCTAATGTTGGGGAAGTGTCTTGCCTAAGGACACAACCACAGTTTAGCACTTTACAGCCGCAGCCATAGACTTTATGGATGTCACTTTTGGCACAGTTAGAATCACTCAGACTGAGCAACAGACAAAGTGTGCAACATGTTAAAGGTAAAACAATATATATATCTGGTTCGTGCAGGGGGGACAATAACATAACATAACAGAAGGTCGTGGGTTCAATTCCCACCTCTGCACCTTCTCCACCGACTCCCACTGATGTCTGCTGTCGTTGTGTCCTTGGGCAAGACACTTAACCCCACTTTGCCCAAAGCCCCCACTGAAAGATCAAGGCTATGCTCACACTCAGAGAGCAGCCGTCCTCCTGTGGACTCACCACCTGCAGAGGGTCAGTGAGGGGCTGGTGCTATGAGACTTGGGTGGCATCTCTGACTGCCACCCCCCTGACCCAGAAATGGATTAAAGGGTAGAAAATGGATGGATGGATGGTTTGTGCAGGATTAATTATGTACTATTAAAAAAACAATAATAAAACAAGTGTATATTCAGTCTTCCACAGAGACAGAGATGGTTTTGTCTCCTAGTGTAGTTTTTGTTCAATTTCCCCACTGTGGGTTGAACAAAGGCTCTCTTAATCTCTTACCTGCTGCAGGTGGTCCCAGTAACATGGGAAGGCATTCGATGATCGTGACCAGTCCCACGGCACTCGGGAAGCGCTGGTTTCCCATCAAGTCCATCAGACACTCAAAGATTAGAGCAAAAACCATCCCGAAGCCCACCCCAAAGAAAATGGCATAAACCACAAGTAACGGGTAACTGGTGATCAGCGGGCACAGCAGGTGACAGACGCCGCAGAACACCATGGCCAAGCTGAAGAAGTACTGGACTCTAGGCCGGACCCACTTACAGTTGGCAATCAGCCCTGTGCCTGGACGAACGAACATGTCCACAAAGCCCATGATGGAGAGCAGGTAGGCCGCAGAGTACTCGTCCACGCCCTGGCTGATGGCGTAGGCCGACAGAAACAGGATGGGTGCGTAAGCTCCAAAGATGAACATGACGTTTCCGATGAGGTAAATGACAAAGCCTAGGTCTTTAAAAAAGGACAAATCTAAAAACTTCTTGAAGTTTTGCACACAGCCGTCTTTGATGCTTGTTCCTCCGTTGGGTTCTAGTTTGTTCGGAGTTTGAGAAAGCTGCTGCACAGGTCTCATGAGGGCCCCGGCGACACAGCAGTGGAGCATCAGGGCCCCCAGAATGAGCAGACTGCCTCTCCAGCCAAATCTCTCCAACAGGAACTGGTTTAGAGGAGCAAGGAAGCACAGAAACACCGGGCTTCCTGCCATCGCGAGTCCGTTGGCCAAAGGACGTCGGAGGAGAAAATACTTGCTGATGATGGTGAGGGATGCGTTCAAGTTTAAGGCGAGGCCACAACCTGTCAATCAAGAGAGAAACATTGAATATACAGCACAAACTGAACTGTCTGATCCTAACACAGAGCTTGTAGTGACCCAGTGGCTGAGTGGTTAGCATGGGGCCTGTACACATGGCTATGGGAGGGGGCCCTTTGAAAATTGTGCCGTACCATATATATCGCTGCTAACTGTAACTGGGTATTGCACCTTATTGGACTGTATTATAATATGTATGATTATATATACTCTTATATTATTATATACTCTTTTTCTCACCACTAAAAACATGTACATACAGTAGGTCTAGCATGTGCCTCCTGCAGACTCCTGCTCCATCTGTGTGGAGTGGGAGACAAATGCCCACGATCGTAAAGTGCTTTGTGACTCTGGTCTGTGGAAGGCGCTAAATAAATAAAAATTACTTAGTTACAATCTGAGAACTAAATGAGAACCCAGCTACATATTTTTCTGTTTTCCAAAGCAGTTAGGAGCAGTTAGGAGCTAGATACTACAGCTGCATATCAGAGGTTTGGGGCACAGGGGAACGGAGCAGGGCACACTCCAGCCCCAGGCGTCACACATGGTCCAGACCCTCTCCAGGACCATTCCAGAACCATTAATCCTTTTGAAGTCCTTGACGGTGTAATGAGCCTAAGAGGTGGCAACGAGCCCCCATGTGACGAGCCTGATGGAGGCCGGCGGGAGAGAGCACAGGGCCACTGAAGACCCGGCAGTCGGGGATACCAGAGCGTTTTGTCTTAATTACTGTCCCACTCATGGTCCCCAGGTGTCGGGACAGATGCCCTGGGTCTTGCTCATGGTCCCCAGGTGTCGGGACAGATGCCCTGGGTCTTGCTCATGGTCCCCAGGTGTCGGGACAGATGCCCTGGGTCGTGTGAGCGGTGAAACGGCCTCAGAGTTGGCAGCAAAAGTGCAAAAGCCAAAGTTGCCGGAGCTCTAATCCCAGAGGAGAAAGACTAGAAATGCTTATGGGAATGCAAAGTCGTAAACGAGTCAGACATTTTCGACAAACCACACAATCCTGTTTCTTTCACCATTATCATTATCTCAAATTAAAAACATTCTCACTCCTCCTGATCTCCATAAAGTAGTTAACGCCCTCATCTTCACTCCCTCCTCTTCGGTCTCTCTCTGGTCTCCACTTTAAACCCCTCTCCTGTCTCTAACTGGTCCAGACGCAGCAGCCACAGACTTCTCACTGGTTTTAACAGAAGGGAGCACATCACCCCTGTGTTAGTGTCCCTCCACTGGCTCCCTGTGCGTTTTAGAATTGATTTTAAGATTTTGCTGATTAAAGCTCATTTAGATCAAGCACCAAGCTACATTCATGAACTTTTAAATCACTTCTTAAAACCCACTTTTATCAGTTTTTAGTTTTAAACTTCCCATTTTGTATTTAATTGTCTGCTTTGTTTTCTGTTCTTTCTTCTTGTGTTCGCTCTGTCTGCTTTGTCTTCCTGCATCTATTTTATCTATTATTTCGGCGGCACGGTGGCTGAGTGGATAGCACTCTCGCCTCTCAGCAAGAAGGTCCTGGGTTCGAATCCTGGTTGGACCAGGGCCTTTCTGAGTGGAGTTTGCATGTTCTCCCCGTGTCTGCGTAGGTTTCCTCCGGGTGCTCCGGTTTCCCCTACCACTAAAAATATGTACAATAGGTCTGGCATGTGCCTCCTGTACTGGCCCCACTCCCAAAAATAACAATTGTAAACCGCTTTGAGACTCCGATGTGCAGTGAAAAGGCGGTATATAAATAAAGATTACTTACTATTTTGACTTTAAATAATAACTTTATATTATTCTGACTGTGCAGCGCTTTGTAAACATTGCTTTTGAAAAGTGCTGTACAAATTAAGATTATTATTATTATCATTCTAACTCTGTATGATGAGAAGGCCCAGCTCTCTGACAGTAACTTACCTCCGACTACACCAATGCACAGGTAAAGGTAAACTATGGAGCTCCCAAAAGCAGCGGTGACCATGGACAGGCCGCACATCACTCCCCCGAGCATGACCACGGGCCGGCTGCCAAACCGACTGACCAAGGCACTGCTCACGGGTCCTGCACGAGGAAGACAGAGGCAGAAAGACAGTCCTGAGGCAGTTCACTTCACATCTAAGGGGACTAGGGCTGCACCATATTGGGAATTAGTGCGATATTCGATATGAGTGTTTAGTATCGCGATAACGATATTATTGCGATATTTTTGTCTTTCACCTAAAATTGAATCTGAATTGAAACACAAGAGACAAATAACAGAAAAGAAGCACAACATTAATGACTTTCAAATGCAAATATTTATATAATTTGTTTATTGTTCTTGTTGAATGTTGATGTGTCTGTTTTCTTGTCTTTAAGAAAAAAAAAAAATATATATATATTTTTGATATGGATATTGCAAACACCAATATCGTGATAACAATATTTTTTTGATATATCGTGCAGCCCTAAAGGGGACAAAACAATTTTAAAAAACACATGATTAAATTTTTTTTCCATCTGTAGTCCTCGGGCCGTGATGAGAAAAATCCAATCAAATACATTAACATAAAAAAACAAGACAAGATAAATTGAGACTAACATTAAAGTGTTGACACATTATACAACATTAATTCAAGAATACACTATTTAGACTTACGCATAAAGTACAGAGTGAATGAGGGCAGGTGTTTGTCTACATGAAGTTACAGACCCTAAATCTTGTTGCTTTCATTTTGATGTCCCGCCCTCCATCGTTTCACCAATCAGAAAGTCTGTGATCCGGGCGCCAGAACTCACCGCGTGGAGCTAATCTCACTGGTAAAGTAACATGTGGCACAGAACTAAAAAAGGTCTCGTTGTCCTGCTGTTATGGTCCCAGCTGGATTCGTCTGCATATCTGGCAACCTGAGTCAGGGAGAGTGGGAGAGGCTGCAGTACCACTTTTGGCCACACGTTTACACACTGCTGCTTTAAATGTGGATCAAACAGAACATGGACGATTTCAAAACTAACCATAATCTCCACTTCTAGTAAAGCTTCATCATTGGGACCTCTAGAGCCAAAGGATTTCTAAAATGGCGTCCTGCTGGTCCCGTGGCGTCTGCGGCGCTAACACCCGCCTCTCTCCTACCGGGCGACTTTGCTGAATCCTTGCCAAGGACAGTTTGATAAAGTCTTCTGCCTGAGCCTCAGTTTAAAAGAATATTTCACTATAATGAGCCGTGAACCTGCAACCTTCAGATCAGGCGATGAGAGAAACGACTGCAGAACCAACAAAAAACCATCTCCAATGTTCTTTCGTCAGTATGGACCGTGTCAGAGGTAGATAATTGTGTATCCCCACTGCTGCCTTCATTATTATTATTTTATTATATGCACTAAATATTTTTTCATACACATTTCTTTTTTGTTCATATGCACTATCTATTTTATTATAATGTTTTCTATTATACATATATATTATTTAGTTATTTTCTATTATAAATACCATCAACTTTTATATACATATTCTATCATTATTTTTTATTATATACATTGTATTTTTGATTTTATTTAATTTGAACTTTATATCCTTTTTTTTGCTTATTTTCTCATTTTATTTTTTTATGTTTTTCAAATAACTGGTTGTACTGTCTGTGGAATGCTTATTGATTAATGCGTGACAGAAAAAAATAATTAAAAAAAGGAAGTAACTAATGCAAATGTGAGTTCTGAGCCTCACAACCTCAGTCACTTTGAACTGTGTGTGTTTTAGGAACCTTCACTTTTTATTTGAACTGTATATTAATATAAGTTATTATTATATAAGTTATTATTATATAAGTTATGATTGTATTTTCAGATCCACAGGTGGAAAGAAGCTGGAGCTAAATCTGGTGCAGCATCTTTTTAATGAAACTACACATTATGTCCTGAAACAAATCAAACACATGGTGCAAAAAATGGTGCAATAACATTTTCTGAGTAGAATCAGTGAAAAGAGCCGCACAGTTTGGGATAAAGTCTAAACTGGTCGTCAGAAACCTTTACATAAACCCTAGTTCTGAGAAAAGAAGCATAATTGAAGTCAAGTGAGCGATAAGTGAGTGGCCTGATCCTGTGGCTGCAGAGCGTCATGTGCAGTCACTAAAGAAGATCCTAATCTAACAATATATTTAGGAATGTGAGTTTTATTGGTCCCTAACTATTGTCATTAACTATTATTATTTTGCAATCCATCATAAACTCAAAGTCAGGCATTGTAACTAACAATTCTGTGGATCATCAATGTTTATGTAAAACACATGTTAAATTAAAACAAGAAATCTTAAAAGGAAAAAAGGAGGATTTTCTACTTCCGGGTGAATCATGAAGATTATTGGTCCTCCCAGCTGTCAATCATTCTGGGGATACAGGCTCGTCCAATAAGAGCAGAGAGTTTAGTTTAAAAAGTGGAGAGGGCGGTTCTTTCCTAAAATGTGGGAAAATCATATTATAAATTATATTTATAACAATTAAAGTAGTAATGTGTCAATAATTAAAGGGCCCTAATCTGTCGTCATTAAAGGGCCCTAATCTATCATCATTAAAGGGCCCTAATCTGTCGTCATTAAAGGGCCCTAATCTGTCATCATTAAAGGGCCCTAATCTGTCGTCATTAAAGGGCCCTAATCTATCATCATTAAAGGGCCCTAATCTGTCGTCATTAAAGGGCCCTAATCTGTCATCATTAAAGGGCCCTAATCTGTCATAATAATAATCTGCTCTTTTCCAATACTTCTTTAACTGATAACAGTTGTTCAGAGATATTTGAATTTCTAAATTACTTTTCCAGCCTCTAAATCTTGTTATTGTTTTCATTTTGATGTCCCGCCCTCCACCGTATCACCAATCAGAAAGTCTGTGATCCGGGCGCCAGAACTCACCGCATGGAGCTAATCTCACTGGTAAAGTACCATGTGGCGCAGAACTAAAAAAGGTCTCGTTATGATTCTCAAATCATTAACGACAAAACAAGGAATAAAACCAGGATTTCTATCTTTGTGAAAAAGGTGTTGGTTATAGATTTGTTGTTGACAAAACTCTTGTCTATTCAGCTGTTATGGTCCCAGCTGGATTCGTCTGCATATCTGGCAACCTGAGTCAGGGAGAGTGAGAGAGGCTGCAGTACCACCTTTGGCCACATGTTTACACACTGCTCGGTCTTATAGGTATTGAGGTCTTGGAGAAGTATTTTTCACTGTTCATGAGAAGTTTGTAACGAGTCCTACCTCCAGCGTACATCGCTGCTAACATTATGGAGGAGATCAAGGCGATATCACTGTAGCTGCACATCAAGTCTTTCTGGATCTCTTTGAAGAAGATGGAAAGAGCCTTTGGAGTCGCGTAAGCAAATCCTATGGAAATGTGGGCCCCAAGGACCACCATCCATCCCCAGCCTCCATCCAAAGGTTTGTGGGCCTGGTCCACGGCAGCTGCAGACATGATGCTAAAACACAGGGATGCAGATCACACACAGTGAGTTCTTGTGCATGTGCTTAATGTGTTTTTACTGGTCTCACACATAAAGTATCTCCAGACTCAGCATTAGCCAAAAATACTAAAGACTTTGGTCGTCATTTGTCAAATAAACACTAATTCTGAAAGCATCAAAAGTTGTTGGGTGGAGTGACGTTTTCCACAGCGAGGGGTCTCCAAATAAATGCCGTCTTAATGTAGTTCTGTTTGGGGATGGCTGAAATAACCTCTGTGTGAAACTGAGACTCAGTTTGACAGCAGGATGTATATTCTTGTAATAATTTAAAAAACATATGCCTCATTAAAAAAAACAGAACAGGACGAAGGTGTTGGAGGGACAGGGGAAAGAAAGTCTGAAAAATTATGAAACATTCTTTTCAGAGCCCGGTGGTTACATCAGCTTCAACCATGGGTCCATAATCACAGGTCTACAGATCTAGTCCACAGTTCTACAGATCTACAGACTTCCTGTGCGTGTTTCTGGTGCAGAACACAAAGACCACGTGGGCCGTAGATGCGCGCGTGGAGCGGATGAAGTTTTCCGTGATGTGAATGAATGAATGAATGAAAGTTTTGTCCGTGTCCGTGTGTGTGGAATGTAGCCCTTACCTCTCAGAGTCTGTGTCCGCTCCTGCTGCGCCGAAGTTACGGAGAACAAACTTTGGATCGAGTATTACTATTGACGTTGGATCACGTGGTTTCACTCTTCAGCCCCGAGAGCAGAGGCCAGAGAGAGAGAGAGAGAGAGACAGAGAGAGAGAGAGAGATACAGAGAGAGAGAGAGAGAGATACAGAGATACAGAGAGAGAGCAGAGAGAGAGAGAGATACAGAGAGCAGAGAGAGAGAGATACAGAGAGAGAGAGAGATACACAGAGAGAGAGATAGAGAGAGAGAGAGAGAGCAGAGAGAGAGCGATACAGAGAGAGAGAGAGATACAGAGAGAGAGAGAGATACAGAGATACAGAGAGAGAGCAGAGAGAGAGAGATACAGAGAGAGAGAGAGATACAGAGAGAGAGAGAGATACAGAGAGAGAGATACAGAGAGAGAGCAGAGAGAGAGAGATACAGAGAGAGAGATACAGAGAGAGAGAGAGATACAGAGAGAGAGAGAGATACAGAGATACAGAGAGAGATACAGAGAGAGAGCAGAGAGAGAGAGAGATACAGAGAGAGAGAGATACAGAGAGAGAGCGAGAGAGATACAGAGAGAGAGAGCGAGAGATACAGAGAGAGAGCGAGAGAGAGATACAGAGAGCAGGGAGAGAGATACAGAGAGAGAGAGAGAGCAGGGAGAGATACAGATTGAGAGAGCAGGGAGAGAGAGATAGAGAGCAGAGACCTGAGAGAGAGAGCATAGAGAAGAGACAGGACAGAGGGCAGGGGGAGGAGAGAGAAAAACGACAGAGGACAGAGAGAGAGAAAGACCTGAGAGAGACAGAGGACAGAGAGAGAGAGCAAGACAGATGGCAGAGAGAGAGAGAGACCAGAGAGACAGAGGGCAGAGAGAGAGAGCAAGACAGAGGGCAGAGAGAGAGAGAGACCAGAGAGACAGAGGGCAGAGAGAGAGAGACCAGAGAGAGACAGAGGACAGAGAGAGAGAGACCAGAGAGAGACAGAGGGCAGAGAGAGAGAGACCAGAGAAAGATAGCGTTGGCAAATCTATTTTCTTGTTACAAAATAAATGAATGTATCTTTGGCGAACACAATGTTCCAAACCTGTTCATTCGTATCATAACAAAGTCTCTCTGATGTTGGGTTTAAAAAAAACCAAAAGACAAAAAGTACATGAAATGAGACAAAAACATATTACGAGTTATTTATTTTCAAATTATGTGCAATGTGAATTTCACAGTTGAGCTCAACCACCTTTAAAATGCATAACCCAGACAAACCAAACCAAGAAAAGTAAAGCAGGGGAACAGGACTGCGTCGCAGCACGAACTGCGTCGCTGCACTAACTGCGTCGCAGCACGAACTGCGTCGCTGCACGAACTGCGTCGCTGCACTAACTGCAGCACGAACTGCGTCGCTGCACTAACTGCAGCACAAACTGCGTCGCTGCACTAACTGCAGCACGAACTGCGTCGCTGCACGAACTGCGTCGCTGCACGAACTGCAGCACGAACTGCGTCGCTGCACGAACTGCGTCGCTGCACTAACTGCGTCGCAGCACGAACTGCGTCGCTGCACGAACTGCGTCGCAGCACGAACTGCGTCGCAGCACGAACTGCGTCGCTGCACAGACTGCGTCGCAGCACTAACTGCGTCGCTGCACTAACTGCATCGCAGCACGAACTGCGTCGCAGCACGAACTGCGTCGCAGCACGAACTGCGTCGCAGCACGAACTGCGTCGCTGCACTAACTGCATCGCAGCACGAACTGCGTCGCAGCACGAACTGCGTCGTTGCATGAACTGCGTCGCTGCATGAACTGCGTCGCTGCATGAACTGCGTCGTTGCATGAACTGCGTCGCTGCATGAACTGCGTCGTTGCATGAACTGCGTCGTTGCATGAACTGCGTCGTTGCATGAACTGCGTCGTTGCATGAACTGCGTCGCAGCATGAACTGCGTCGTTGCATGAACTGCGTCGTTGCATGAACTGCTTCGCTGCACGATGCAACAGCAGCTGAAGGACGCAGCGTTAGCTCGGGGGACGCTGACTGGTGCAGGTCATGTTTAAGAGTTAAATAAAAGACCTATTCTACAAAAGGGAAAACTCCAAATGCATAATGTGTGGGTCGTTCTCACAGGACGAGGGGCACAAACATGTCTAAAATAAAAGAAAGAAAAACAGCCACTGAAGACAACAAATAGGTCACATCTATTTTTCAAGTTATAAAAGAAACTGAAGAGTTTAGAAAACTGTGCAAGTACAGCAAAACTATGGTACAGTATATTACACATAAAACATTAAATACAGTACTGTGTTCAGTAGATCCTGAGTTACTGTTCTCCTTCTGGACGAGTGGATGGAGCTCAAACCTTTATCCATCTGGACTGTTGTTAGGACACTGTCAAAGGTCAATTTAAAATAACATTGTTCTTCTCTTGGAGAAGTTTGAACAAGTCTTTACTAAATGTTAGCATTTCCATTCACGGTCCTTGATGATTGCTATAGAAAAACCTTTTGTTGAGGGGTTAGCTTCTTTAAGATAAAGAGGATGGAGATAATGTAGTGCAAAGATGAAAGGAACTTGAGGACATTGAAGCCACTGAATGTCACAAAGAGCGCCACGCAGCGGCGGAATCATTTCTATACAAGAGATTGTCACAAAATAAAAAAGCAGCACCAGAAGCGTCCTCACGTGATGTCACCAAAAGACTAACTGTACACAGCCCCTCCATAGTTCTGAGCACGTGGAGGAGGAGCGGGTTGGGTTTGAGTGAAGGAGAGTGATTCAGTGCAAAGCTGTTTAAGACTTTTCTTCATCAGGAGAAAGTTATTGATTCTGACGCCTCCTTTCAGCCACAGGCACATCGGCATCTCAGAGGAACAGCCAAACCTATGAATGTTGGCCATTCTCACAATTAAATGCACTTTACTAAGATAATATATCGCCTAATCACAGTTTAGTTAGTTTAAATTATTGCTACTAATGTGTTCTAATGCTTGTTTTGGCCAATAAGTTTATGCATAAACTCAATAGAGCTCAGTAAGTCTCCCTTTTGCCTTTGTCAAATATCTGAGGTAAGAAGCCTTTTAGTTGGTCTGAACTTTCCACTTAGTGTTACCAAAATTGAACTTCTTATTTCTCCAATGTGGAGAGTGAGTGTCCACTTTCAATTTAACAAGGTAAGTTTCCATGACACAAAATGGGTAAAACCTAAAAAGCATGATGGCACATGCACCTAAACTGCTGAACCTAAAAGTAGCTTTGGAGAAACACAAAAGGTCATTATTGTTTGACACGAAGACAGACGGGGCCAAAAAGGTATTTTACAAAAAGAATCTTCAGCACACATCAATTTAAAATGATAAAAGGAGCTGCAAAGACTAAACAGGGAAACGCACACCGACCAATCTGAGCCTACACTACGGTCCTCAGCTTACCCGTATGAATATAGACTTTATATAGTTATTTATAGAGATCCACAGCTCCAGAGGGATCGCTCGTCCTCCCGCCGCTCACTCGCTTATCATCTGTTAATGTTCTATAGCTATACGTTTCAGAAACAAACATAGAATGGCTCAACGTTAAGCAAAATATAGTATAATTGCACTTATGATTCATTGTACGGTTGTGTCGGAGTGTCGGTGCTGTTAGGCAAGAAAATACTGCGATATTCAAAAAGCACCCCAATATTTGATGACCTGGAACCAAACACAAAACCCAACAACAGGAAATGTCCTTGTGGCAGAGAGGCACAGGTCAGGCACTATCAGAACTACTCCCTGGGCTTCTACACCCCTCCATCAAAGCACTTTCTGCAGACACTGTGGGTAGAGTTTGGCCACCACACACTCAAAATGGCGGCCCAGATCCCAGAGGCGGTCTGGGGTCTCGTAGACTTTGGTCCATGCGTCTGCCTGGTCGTCGTACTGGTAAAGAGAGTTCTTGCGGCTGGTGCGAAAGACGTGCTTCTCGACCATGACCTGCGTGGCGCGCACAAACAGGTGCAGCTTTCCCTGGAGCAGCATGGCCTTGATGTATGGGCTCGTGGCTTGGTCGAAAGGCAGGTCTCGCTTACGGCTCCAGATGTTTTTCTCGATGTCGTAGACCTCCACGGTGAAGGTGCGCTGGTGGTTACGACAGATCCCAGCGATGTAGTAGATGCTGTTCTTGTACAGAGCAGCCAGGCCCTGGCTCCGGGGGACGCACATGGAGGGAAGGTGGCTCCAATAGTCTTTACGAGGATCAAAATAGAAGAAATATTCACCTGTGCAAGGACAAAAATACTTTTACCGTTATCAAAGCAAACAACTTTTTTCCATACAGCTTTTAGAAATGTAGAATTCCAGTGAGACAAAATCAATAGTAGAACATGCAAAGGGAGGTTTCTCACCATCATCTGTACTTCTTAGAAGGTTTTCCCAACGGGTCGTCCTTCACCGCAAGAACTTTTTTCCCTTGAAAAAAGCCCTTTAGGTGAAAGACGAAACGTCTGCTAAGAAGTACAGATGGTGGTGAGAAACCTTTGCTTTGACTAATCCCTGTACGACAGAGCTTACACAAACTAATAGATAATGGCCACTATCACCAAAGTACATTTGCTTATGTGTCAAAACATTTAGAATAATGGTCGACTGCAACAAAAAAAGACATTTAAGGTTACAAAACAGATGCATTAGGTTTGTTTTTGATACATTAAATATATCGAGTACATTCGACAGAAACGTTAAGACTTTAACCTAAGCCTTCTTCATAAGGGGAAGGTGTCAAACATTTATATTGTTCAATCACAGATGATTCTTAGAAATAGATGAATGGATCCGACCTCGGTTTAGAGCGAGCTAAACGACCTACATCACTTATCTTTCCAACATACATTAATAACATTAACATTGAGCTGTGACAGAAGGGCATCAGAAAGGTTTTTAATCATGCTATGTATATTAAAGGAGCATTTCTTGTCTGCACATTTGCCTCGACTAACGCCCAAGACTCTGTGTAAAGTGGTTATAGTAGTTAAACACAATAAAAACAGATTTACTTAATAATATTAGCATAGCATGAAGCACAATGACCCATTTAGCCAAACAGTCGATTAATGATTGGTAACCAATCGATTGGGGGAAAAAAAAGAATCCAATGCGTCTGAGTGAGATGCCGCACTCACCTTGGAGAACATATATCCGGTCTTTGTACTCCACAGCACTGTGGAACTCCATGGCCACAGGCATAGGACTGACGGCCGTCCAACAGTTGTCCCTGGCGTCATAGCACTCCACCGACTTTAAGGCGTTACGCCCGTCGCCTTCATAAACACGTCCACCCAGAGCATAGAGTTTCCCACAGCAGTGAATGAGTCTACAGCCGATCCTGGCTCTGAGCAGAGGAGCGTGTGGGAGCCATCTGTTGCCCGCATGTTCGTACTGCCAGAAGTCGCTCTCTGCTCGATGGTCTATGGACACTTCACTGTTGCTCGGCCTGTAGCCTCCGGCGATGTAGATGTCGTTCTCCGGGGACACCAGGATGCCCACCTCTCGCAGGTCGTTTGGTGGCTTGCAGAGTTTGAACACTCTTCCTGCGGCAGTATCCAGACAAGGCACCGTCTGCTTCTTCCCTGAGTGTTTATGAGCAGCATCGAAGCAGATGACCATCTCCGACGCCGTCATCCCCAGACGCTGAGGGCAGCCGTTGGTGCCGGTGAGGCGGGCTTTGGCCTCGGCGGGGTCCTTGGAGATGGAGAGAGCACAAGCGAAGGGAGCAGGTATTCGATTGAGGAAGGCGTCGTCGAGGAGCGGTAGACGGATGCACTGAGAGAAGACTTCTGGCAGGTGGCCTTCGCGCCCGGACAGATCATGTTCCAACCATCGCACGATGCTCTCGTACACGTGCTCCTCCTTCTCCACGTTCAGGTCGTCATTGTTCAGAATACTCACCAACTGCTCCTTGGTCATTTGGAGGAACTCCTGCTCTCGGGACACGCACAAGAACTAGAAAACAGAATAATCACAGCGTGAGACTTTGTTTACTTGACCCCAAGTCACTATCAGTGTTGGCGGGGGCAACTATTGATTTATTTAGTGATCAAGTCTTGATTTGATCAATCAAGTTATCCACTAACAAGCTTTTCAGAAAACATTCAAATGCATCTAAAATATGTTACCTCAAAATATATGAATCATAAGTAAAAACAAATCTCTGAAATCATTTAATGTAAAAGCACAGTTTTCACGGATTCATTCATGGATTTAAACTTAACATAAACAAATCTATTCAACTCTTTCAGAAAGCACCTGTGGCATTTCAAAATGTTGATTAGACAGCATGAATACAGCATGTAGGGGGTCTGCAGCCCGGATTAGAGACTAGTAAGAGTATGGAAACTAGGATAGGACCTGAATGGGGGAGGGGGACATCCCACAGAGGAGGGGGGGGGGGGGGCAGAGGCCACAACCAACAACATGATTAACTCTGGAGCTGCACTCAGTGTGAGACCGAGTGTGGTCAAACCTGATATAGACTGGTTTTCATCAATCAGCATGTTTATACAATACCACACCCGTGAGGTGGGATGGGTTTTCACAACAAATATGACAGATTTGTGAACAATGTCTAAGTCCAGTCTATTAATAATATGCACACAGTTTTACATTTTTAGAACCCACAAAAGTGCTGCGTTTACATTTTTGTCCAGAGCAAACATAAACCTTTCTGTGTATGGGTTTCATACGGCAACAGTGAGTAAAAGTTTAGTTCAGGAGACTTTGGGCTGGTTTACAAAAGTAGAAGTAAGTAGAACACTTTATTGTTTGTTTGATTGGTGCAGCATAAACAATAATACATCTGAATAAAATGGCACTTCAGACAATCAAATATGGATTTATATTTAAGTGTTTGGTATTTTCATACGTGGTATTACTGGGTCCACAGCTGAAGCAACACAACATTATTCAC